TCCTGTGCTCCCATTGATTTTCGCCGAGGTTGGTTCTGGTTCATTGGATATGTTTGGAAGTAGTAGCAATGGGGTTCAGGCTCCTCCGGGATTTTTGGATGAGTTCTTCAAAGACTCAGATTTTGATAGCTTGGACCCTATTTTAAAGGAGCTTTACGAGGACTTGAGGTCTACGGTTATTAATGTATCAGTGCTTGGAGATTTCCAGCCACCATTGAGGGCTCTCAAGTATCTTGTTAGCTTACCAGTAGGAGCAAAATCTCTGGTTAGTCATGAGTGGTGGGTTCCACGAGGCGCCTATATGAACGGTCGAGCCATGGAGCTGACAAGCATTCTTGGCCCTTTCTTCCATATTAGTGCACTGCCAGATAATACGCTATTCAAGAGTCAACCTGATGTTGGGTGAGTTTGAACTTATTTCTGTTTCTCTTGCTTAGAATTCTCTAATCTTTGGGTCTGTTTAGTTTGTTGAGACAGTTTGGATAGTAAGAATTATTGTTTAGCGTATTCATAGTAGATAGTTGTTCAAAAAGGAAAGAAGCACATGTTTTTGGCTTATAAGATGACACTGTTAGGTGATATGCATTTTTAAGCATGATTATACAAATCCACCATACATAAGACTTAGGTGCTCAGTGTCCTAAACCAATAAAAACATTAGTAAGCTCTCTCTTAAGTTGGAATATTGTGGACGAAATCAATTATTTTAAGCATTTTTCTTGTCTGTACTGAACATTAGCATTTGACATGGATTATTTGTGCAAACAGAAGGGTCTCCTGATTTATCTTACATGATATTCTTTACCTGTTATAGAAACGCTAATACATGTCTATTGTTTTGTGAATATCAGGCAGCAGTGCTTCTCTGAAGCATCAGAACGTCGTCCCGCAGACTTATTATCATCCTTCTCCACCATTAAAAATTTTATGAACATTTTGTACAGCGGGCTGCATGATGTACTGATGATTTTACTTAAAAGTACTGATACCCGTGAGTGTGTTCTACAGTTTCTTGCAGAGGTGATCAATGCAAATGCGTCTAGAGCCCATATACAGGTACACATTAGTATATAAAATAGTTTTTATTTATTTATGAATTGTTCTAGTCTCCCCTCGGTTTTATGAAGTTGGTATTTGTCTTTTTCAAACCAGCATTCTGTAATATGTATATCTTGTTTAACAGGTTGATCCAGTCTCTTGTGCTAGCTCAGGCATGTTTGTCAACCTCAGTGCAGTAATGCTCCGGCTCTGTGAACCATTTTTAGATCCGCATTTAACTAAAAGAGATAAGATTGATCCAAAATATGCATTCTGTGGTCATCGCTTGAAATTAAGGTATGATCCTCAAAGTAATTGTACATATATTTCCTCACTGAATTTTCATATTATAATGATGAACAATATTATTTATGATCAACACCAGCGACTTGACTGCTCTTCATGCATCATCCGAAGAAGTTTCTGAGTGGATTGACAAAGATGCTACGGCAAACACAGATGGTGCTGGGCCAGAAAACGGGAACGAAAGTCGCTTGTTACAATCCAAAGAAGCCACAAGTTCTAGTAGTAATGCTTCTGGGCAAAATGCAAAGTCAGCAACTAAGTACACTTTCATTTGTGAATGCTTCTTTATGACTGCAAGGGTCCTTAATTTGGGTCTCCTAAAAGCACTCTCTGACTTTAAACATCTTGCTCAGGTAAACCATCATCTCAAATTCTCGAACTGGAGATATAGAAGAGTTTGAAACATTTAAAAGTGATTTGTGATGAACTATCTTGCTGAGATCTCTTTTTTTATTTTGGTTCTTGACATTGTGTTGTCGAGACGATTTTCAGTGAAAACAAGAAGGAACTATAGTTAAAACTTTAACTTAGGAACATATTTTGATTGTGGAAAAGTCCTTGATGCCTGAATTTGCAGAAGATTGTAATTGTATTTTTTTTTACTTTTTCCCTCATGACGTAGGACATTTCGAGAGGTGAAGATAATCTTGCAACACTAAAAGCCATGAGAGATCAAGCACCTTCTCCACAGTTGGAACTTGATATAACCCGAATGGAAAAAGAACTAGAGCTGTATTCTCAGGAAAAGCTCTGCCATGAAGCCCAAATATTAAGGGTTTGTAGTCATATTCTCTGAGATGAGAACATCTTTGCTTTGTCTCTGGACGATAACATGATAGTAATAGTTTCTTTATCTCTCTATACTGTATTGAAGGATGGCGATTTTATTCAGCGAGCTCTGTCTTTCTATCGACTAGTGGTTGTCTGGTTAGTTAGACTAGTTGGTGGCTTTAAGATGCCTTTACCATCAACTTGTCCCATGGAATTCTCTTGTATGCCTGAGCATTTTGTTGAAGATGCAATGGAGTTACTGATATTTGCTTCAAGAATTCCCAAAGCTTTGGATGGGGTAGTACTGGTATGCTTAGTTTTATCTTGCATTACTCCGTCTGGTGACATTCTCTCGTTGTACTTGCATTGATGATGGTTGTTCTCTTTTTTTTTAAGGACGACTTTATGAACTTCATAATTATGTTCATGGCAAGTCCTGAGTATGTTAGAAACCCATATCTCAGAGCAAAAATGGTTGAAGTCCTGAACTGCTGGATGCCTCGTTCAAGGTGATTTCCTTCACTAAAGCTGTTAAAACCTCAATTTGTGTTGCTAATGCAACAAGTTCTGCAGTAATGTGGTCCACCAATCTCAATTCAATTTTTGTTTGCAGTGGTTCTTCATCTGCTACATCTACTCTTTTTGAGGGGCATCAGTTATCACTCGAGTATCTTGTCAGGAATTTACTGAAACTATATGTGGACATTGAGTTCACAGGTTCACACACTCAGGTGATTGCAAGAGATTTTGTGTAGTGGCTATATTATTTCTGGCGTAACGAGCTTCTGTTTATTGCTTAGTACATAATATGCTAGCTCTAGAACAGCCATAATGGCTGTTAGCTCTTGCTTCTAATGTAACTGATATCTAATTTTCCAAATGCAGTTCTATGACAAATTCAATATTCGTCACAACATTGCCGAGCTTTTGGAGTATCTCTGGCAGGTGCCTAGTCACCGGAATGCTTGGAGACGGGTAAATTCTTAATGAGCTGGCCGTGACTTTGAACTTTAATTATCATTTTCCAATGCTACCAAACTTGATGTGTTACAGATTGCAAAAGATGAAGAGAAGGGCGTGTACTTGAATTTCTTAAACTTCTTAGTCAATGATAGCATCTATCTTCTTGATGAAAGTCTTAACAAAATTCTGGAGATTAAACAAATCGAGGCAGAGATGTCAAATACTGCAGAATGGGAGCAGCGACCAACACAAGAGAGACAGGAGAGAACAAGACTCTTCCATTCTCAGGAGAATGTTAGTTGGATTGACACTTCTTATTTTGTATCATATTATGTTCTTGGTTCACAATACCCTAAAGAACTTTTCTTTGCTCTGCAGATTGTTAGAATCGACATGAAGCTGGCAAATGAAGATGTGACTATGCTTTCATTTACATCTGAGGAGATCACTGCCCCTTTTCTACTCCCTGAGATGGTAACCTGACCGTATTCCTGAACTGGAAACCTGCCCGATGATTACCCAACTGAAGAGTTTGTTTGTTTGTTTGTACTTACTTATTCAGGTTGAGAGGGTTGCAAATATGCTTAATTACTTCTTGCTACAACTCGTGGGTCCACAGCGTAAATCTTTAAGCTTGAAAGATCCTGAAAAGTATGAGTTCCGTCCAAAACAGTTGCTTAAACAGGTTAGTGATGACAATTAAGTTTTCTTACCAAAATGTGTGAGAAAGTGACTGAATACAATTCTGATTGCTTTCATGAATTTTGAAGATCGTTCGCATATATGTTAATCTCGCAAGAGGAGACTCGGAAAACATATTCCCTGGTGCCATATCCAGTGATGGCCGATCATATAACGAACAGGTCAAATTCTCCTTTCTAACCAAATACTCTTCGTCATAATCTATCTGTCTCTACTGAACAAAACAAGTGCCGGTTTTTGCAGCTATTCAATGCAGGAGCAGATGTGCTTAGGAGAATAGGTGAAGAAGGAAGAATCATTCAAGAGTTTATGGAGTTAGGCATTAAAGCCAAAGCTGCTGCCTCTGAAGCTCTGGATGCTGAAGCTGCGCTTGGTGAAATACCAGACGAGTTCCTTGACCCAATTCAGGTCTTTATCTGTGGAAAGAAGTACTAATTTTATAGAAACCTAATTTTTGTCTCAATAACATGCACTAAAGTCTGTTCTCTGTTATATTTTTCATATTTTTTTTTTGCAGTACACACTAATGAGAGATCCAGTGATACTTCCAAGCTCAAGAATCACAGTTGATCGACCCATCATCCAGCGTCATCTTCTCAGCGACAATGTAAGCATATCTAACACATTGACGATCAGTTACACATCTCCCTCTCTCTCTCTCTCTCCGAAGATTTTGGCTTTGAATCTGATCTTATTTCTGCTGCAGCATGATCCCTTTAACCGAGCACATTTGACATCAGAGATGTTGATACCGGACGTCGAGTTGAAGGCGAGAATCGATGAGTATGTGAAGTCGCATCAGTCGAAGAAACGGACAAGTGGAGAAGATAGCAGCACCAAGGAGAGGATACAGACTACGAGCAGTGATATGTTAATTGATTAATTATGTGTTCCAAAAATAAACAAAATGATAACAGAAACACGCTTTTAAAATACTTTTGATAGGCTTTCGTTTCTAATAGAATTATGACTTAATTTTATGTGTTTTATGTCTTAGGGCGAGCTTCCAATTTCAAGTCAATAATATGATGTCTCTTGAAAGAAAAACTTTTTAAAGTTTTCAAGTATAGATAAAAGTATAAAAGCATGGAGGAAATATTATTCTTATCATGTTTTGGAACTGCTTAATAGCAGCCTAAGTACGATGTGTTGTTCAGTTTCTATGCTTTTCGACGGCCGTTCATGGACGCATAAGACTGATGAATCGATACCACTTCGTGGATTGAAAAGGCAAATACGTTTGATGGAAGGTGTCCGGAAAAATATTTGATTACAAAACAAAGGAGATTTCGAAGCCTGTAACACCCAGAACAGAAAGAAAAAAGACAATACGGTTTCCGAAATTAGAAAGAAGTAGAGTTTTGTTTACGTTTAGCGAACTCGTAAGCAATGCTAAGTGAGCTTCTACTGTGACGAAGTGAGAACTCAGCAGTCAATATATCTTTCTCTGATTCGGACAGATCTCCATGACTTCCCTGTTGAAAACCATAAAATATGATAAACATAAGTGAACTGAAAGCTAACTTAAAAGATTGTGTAGCTGTGTCAATCGGTTTACCAGACGAGTGATTCTGTCAGAGACTGCGTGGTGCATCAGAATCCCTGCAGCCACTGAGACATTGAATGAATCAACCATTCCATTCATCGGAATACTGCAACACAAATCTGACAACTCCAAGGCTTCATCACTTATTCCGCTGCAAATTTCCCACAAATCCATTAAGAAATCCTGAACCCGTTTCCCACAACTATAGCGGTTGGAAAGTGAGAGATAATATTACCTGCCCTCGTTTCCAACAACTATTGCTGTTGGGCATGACCAGTCCATATCGTAAATGGAAACCTGTGAATATTTACCACCAAAAAACTGTTATGAGTACTAACATACATTCATTTTACCCCATCAATTATGGTGATGAGAAGAATATACAAAAAAGAGGTTTTACAGTGTCCATCCCCAAATGCGTTGTGGCAATTCTGTAACCACGAGACTTCAAAGCATTGAAACATTCTTTCGGTGTGTCCCAAAACTCAATGTCCAACCATTTCTCAGCTCCCATACTCACATGGCGATTTCCGTTATACCTACACATATATATTACACATTCACACAGATAGAACAGTACATGAATTCACACAATGTGATCAAACCTATTATACATTATAGTAAAAAATTAATGATAAATCTTTCGAAATATCACCTATGACTCATTTATCAGTACACGTTCAAGATACAGAATCCCCATTCAATCGTATGAACCAAAAGTCAACTTATGATCAATCTTTTGACTCATGAGGACAATGTAATCGAAACTTCTACTAGACTCATTCTTCACCTTAAGGACTCAATCTCCAACTTATTGCACGGTATAGATTCCAACTCATAAAGTAGAGGAAATATAATAATTCTCACCTACTCCATTCTATGATCCAATAAACATAACTTCAGTCGCCAGCTTATGATGTCAAGTCACTCACGACACTATGTATATACCCCAACCTCAAAAAGTGTGAAGAAAATTAAAAAATCCCAAATTGAAACCGAATCCTAATAACCAAGAAACAGAAAATGCCAACCTCAAAGGGGGCACCTTTTGGAGCTGTCACAGGAAACGACGTGTACGGATTGAATCCCCAAGGCATCAGCAGAGCGGAACGCAGCAGAGATGTTTCCAAAATCAGAGAGACCTTCAACCACAAGACACACCGAGTAGCTTCGATTCTCCACAACACGCCTAAATCTATCTCTCCTCTCTTCCATCATATGAGGAGTCACAGCCTCCAACACCTCACGGCTACTAAGATGCACCTCACCGCACCTGAACCTGTCTTCGTAAGGGAACCATGATCCTCTACAATCACCCTCACCATCGCTCAAAATGCTCCGCCGCTCCATCTTCATCATGCTTCTTGACGCTTCAACACGATTAGTTGTTAGTAATTCCTTCACAGTATCCTTGGGAGATTCTTCCGTGAAGCTCTCCGGTGAAAGAGCCGCCGCAGCTCCATTAAACTGCGAGAATGTCGTTGAGCGAAATGTGCGTCGAGCTGTTCCAATGCCTATTATTCACATGAGCAGCGATTTTAAAATTGAACATATGAGAGAAATCAAACGAATAGTTTACGAATTTGAAAACAAAAGGTTGAAACTGAAGAAGAAGAAAGAGTGAGAGCGGTGTACATGGATTTGGAGGGAGAAGAGAGAGAGGAGATAAAGTGCGAACTGAGATAAAGGTGATGGAGGAACTAGGGATTGATCGAGGAACCAATCCAAATGAAGATATTGAGGTACGAATAAGAGATTTGCAGGAGTTCATGTGTTGCTGCGACTGTGTTTACTGCAGTGTCGGAGCTTGAGATTTAAGGGCTTGTTGGAGAAGCTAATCACAGAGCAAGCAGAGACACAGCTCAAGGCTCTGGTTCCGATTAGTCGTCTCGAACCAAACAAGATAAAGTGCACAGTGCCAGTGTAGTGTTATAACTTCGGTTTAGTATTGGTTCGATTTGGTTTAGTGTAGTGTTTAAAACTTAGTTGTCTACGACCCTAAAATCCAATATTATATATGCTCACTTCTACTACCTTTCTACGTAATAGAGGAGGCACAAAAAGAATCTGCAAAATACTACAAGTTTGAAACACTTGTCAAATCAGAAAAACTTGGTCTTCAAATTCTTCATCTCCTCATACGTGCTGATTTGCCGCGAACAGTCTCGAGAATCCTGCAGTATTCAAAGAAGAGTGACGAATGATCTCCTTCAAGTCCAACTCTACTGATCCGATTACCTCCAGCCAGGTTGTTGCAAGGACTTCCTCCTATGACCAAGTCAAACCCTCCATACTCGTCCATAAGTCGCTCAATCGTATGGTTGTCTAGCTTTGTAACATCACTGAACTCTCTCAAGATACCTGTCTGATTAGTCTGCTCCCAGAAGCTACTCAAGATGTTTCGATTCACTTCTGAAATCTCGACAGACACAACTACATTCATTCGAATTTGGAGACGATGCAGTGCCACTTCTCCACCGCCAATCCCCGTGAATAGTGACAGAACATTGATTCCCTTTGGGAACAAAGGCTTGAGGGCAGACAAGTGATATGCTACTGTATCAACCTACAGAAATTTTTTTTTAAAAAACTAAGTTTTGAAGAACCCTCAAAGACTTTCAAACCAGAACTGAATCGACAGAGAGGTCTTAAGTTATCTAATTATACCTGAAATGAGTTGCCTAAAGACTTGTAGCGATCAGTTCTACTAATACCTCCTCCTCGAGTATGATCTCTTGGGAAGCCTAGAAGCTTCTCCATCTCATCTGCCTCAAGCGGGGCAAGCTTGTTCTTACCGACCCAGACCAGATTCCACTTTCTGCAACTCTCAAGGATTTCTTTCTGCACGCTTAGAGGTGGCTCTCCATCATGGTTCTCAAGCTTCTCACGTAGTCTGTTTGTAAGCTGAGCACTGGCGATACATGTAACCAAACAGTTCAGCTTCCGTCTTCTATCCCAACTGGGCCACCACCTCTTAGTCAATGGAAAGGCTTCTTGGATAGTACAGTGAGGAGGAGGCTGGATCTGAAATCTATTATGGATTGGGAGGTTGTGAACATAACCCCTTTTTCTTGCAGCCGCACAAAAGTAGATAGAGTCCACGAATTCAGGCATGATATCATACAAGTGACTGGAGATCTTGGCCCAAACACCTTTAGGAGCCATTGCAACATTCTCGTAGTAAAAGTAGGGCGGGCCACGACCAACATCCGGAATTGGGACTGTTCTTTGTGTCATAAGTCCAGGTTCGTTAGGGACACCAAACCCAGTCATCGGCTTTGGTAGACGGATGAGCTCGTCATTGGCCATGGCAGTGTTCGGCTTTCTCTCTCTTCTTGGTGGCTCATTGTATACTCGCCTCTTTTTGCTGTTAGTTATAAGCTGCACAGTCAAAGAGTCAAGCATGAAAAACTGCATAATCTAGGGAAGTATACCATCTACAGCAGTAGCAATTGAAGTAATTACATGTTCTGAAAGAAAGACAGAACTCCAAAAACATTAATAGGACTTGAGGAAGCAATTAGTAACATCAGTAAGTTCTGTAAAACATTGAGTAGAACAACAACAAAGCATCAAATTGTAGTATTAAACCATAGCATCTGCTCAGACCAAAAGCAGGTAAGGCCAAGGGAATCCAGAGTTCAACTTATCATCAATCAGATTATCAGAGGTCAAAATATGGCAAAGATCACAATCCAAGAGCTTTTCTAATTTGTAAGCTACAGTTAATAGCTACAAGAGTGCAATGTATCTGCTACAGAACAATGATCGCCGGCATTGATTACAAAATCAAATGGCAATGAAGTTAACAAAACAGGTTACATGGAAACTACGACGAAGTTAATTAATTTCACAGTTTTAAAGCAGACAACTCTAGATGTCTCGTCTCACCGACCAGAATTGTAGATGGATAATTCAAAACTAACTTGATGGGTGTCGTAGGATCTTCAAAAGACTTAAAACTTATTACCTCTTTTTTATCATGTTCTGCAAAAAACTCATCGAACTGCCGTGCCATCTGAGCAGCACAAATGAAGTCTACGACCTCTTCCACACTTGCATCTTCTCCTGTGAAGTTTGAGAAGAAACATGAATACTGGCAAGGATGCTAATTGGATAGATGAGAAGAATACAAGTAAACCTCTCTAAGATCTGAATAGAAAGATAAGAAAATTTTGAAGTATAATGATAATAAATAAGCCAGAGCTTACCACATCTCTCTATAGCTTTAGCAGCCTCTTCCCTCGAATACTGCATCTTGATCAAATCTTGCAGTATACCAGTTTCATGTGAGTAGTTTAGTTTATCCTGTCATTTTCCAAAACAGATAAGAAGACAGCAATCACAATCTACTTCTAAAAAATGTAAGACATGAGTAATTTATAACCAAGTAAAGGTCTGAAACTTGATTAAACTATTGTACCTCCTCTTCATCTGAGGATAATGAATAGATATTGTCATCATCATTAATGTTGATGCTCTCGTCTTTTGATTTGGACATTTTCTCTACCTCCTAAAAATACAGTAACGACCTGTTACATGACATACTGTATTTTAATGTAAATATACGTTATCATTGTAATGCTTACTTACCTCATAAGTAAGAAGCACATTTGTTATCTCATCGATATTTTCGTCTCCTGCATATTATCAAGGAAAGCTAAGTAAACCTCACTGAAAGTTCTCATTTCGTAGAAAAAAAAATGTGGAAAGAGATATGTCATTACCATATTCTTGTAAAACTTTTATCACGTTTTCTTCAGGAAACCCCATCCCAGTAAGATCATTGATAATTTTGGACTTTGAAGAACTAGGTTCAGTGCTTGTCTTCACAAAGAAACATAAAGTGAAAGGTAAAATTATATACAAGCAAATTGTGAACACATGCAAAAAGAAAAAGTAGAAAATCAAAGTAACATGGCAAATTCAGCCAAATAGCACTCACAGAATACTTGAAGAGAGTTTCAAGAATCAGCATAGGTTCCGAGTTTTCTCCTGCAAATTATTATCATTTCATCGACTGACAGAATTCAGAAATGCATATCTCAGCGATTACACAAATCAGAAATAGACTCACCACCGGTTTCTTCAATTGCTCTAGCAATCATTTCACTTGAAAATCCCATCTCAATAAAACTAGCAAACGTCTCATCAGAGATACCCTTCTGGATTAAATTTGGCGAGGTTGCCTAATGTTATACACAGAAACAAAACCGCATTATTCTTGCCTCAGCGTGAAAACAAGTTAGAATTGCAATCATTCTATAGAACTCAGTAAGCACTTACATCAGCAGGTCCAACTGAGGTTTCAGACATAGAATGTACAGGAGAAGATTGGAAGTTATCGATCTCAAGTTCATCATCTGTATTCCAATTCTCATCACTGTCATCACCACCAGAATGTTCCATCTAAAGAAACATTGCACAAACAAAGAAAAACTGAACTCTTATGGTTTTCCTTTCCTGAATTTCAACAATGTGAGAGATACCAAAGGTCTGACATTACCATTTCGGCAGTAAAGTTGATGTATCTACCAGTGTACCCCAGTGTTCCCAAACAACAAACCTGCCAATAATATAATCGTAGTGTCAACTTTTAAATGAATGAAATTTCAATTTGGAAACAAGAGATTAGTCGATATCCTTTCAGAAATCGTTTCCTGACTGCAATTTAATAACTTGAGAATGTTTCAGCAGCTTTCTAAGTCCTAAGTCTATACCAACAAAAACGAATACTTAGACCAAAAACGATGTCATGGATAAAGTGCAATAACCCATAAAAAAAAGTATCAAACTTTAGCGCGACTTCACTAAGAAATCAAAAAGTCACAAAGAGGATGAAGGATGAAATGCATTAAAATGTAAGATATGAATGCAGAATAAGTTACTCACGAGGAAGAAAACAACAGAGAGATTACTCTGAGTCTAAGAGTGAGAGAGAGCTCGGCTGCTTCTGGGGGTTGTCTTGAAGCTAGAATTCAGCTGAGCAGCCAAATGCGACTGCACATTCGATCAAATGAAACCCTAAAAAGGAAGAAAAAAGGGAAAACACTGAGAAAATGTAAGCAGTAATAACATCAGAGAGAGGAGAGACGACGGTACAGTGGCTCTGTTCATGAATCCGTTTCAAGTAAAACCTTTTCGAAGAGAGAAGAAGAAACAACAACCCTTGAGAAGATGGAACCTTACCGGAAATTGAAACGAGAGCTGAATCGATCACTCTCACAGTTCACAGAGATTGTGTGTTTTAGCATTTCACAGCCCAAAAAGAAATAAAAAATGGAACTTTCTGAAGAAGAGGAAGAAGAGAGTCAAAGAGAGCAAATGTTTTATTTAGAAAATTACAAGAAAAGCAATTTCTCATTCTCATCTCATCGTTAAAGCCCAAACTTTTGTTATCACTCAAAATGAACCTTATTTCATAAAACATTATATACAAAACTTATTTGACGATTCACATATTCTTCTTTAAAGAGAACAACAATTTTACTCTTCCATCTACACTAAATGCGAAGAGATCGTTTCGTTTCTGGTTAATTTCACATTCAATGTTTGTTAACCAAAATGGATACAATAGAAATTTGTGGCCATATCCATAAATCGTTAAATTTTGGGTGAAGAATTGTAAATTTAAAATGTTAAAGAGCCGTGCAAAAGTATGTAATTGGGAAGGACATATATAAAAGAAAAGAAATTACATGTACACAGCGCAAGTCAGAGGCCGTTACATATTATATTTTATATAAGAGTTTGTTTGGTCTGGTCGTTACATTATATTAGCATATGAATAATTAAGCAATACTATAATTTTCTTTTTTCTTAAGCACTACTAAACCAAAGATTTCATCACCTGATAATCTCTTTTACAAGGTAATATAGTAAGTCATATATGCCTAAGTCTAGAAATTACAAAGACTCATATATTAGTTCATGATATACATTTGCATTCACAATAATTTTAATTTTTTTTTGTTATTCTACACTTATATTTTAATATATAATAAATAAGTAGTGGATGTCAGCTCATTATTAGCTAGCATCCACTCTTTTTTTTTGTTTTTTTTCTTCTTTAAATTCTTATTTGCTTTTTTAAGTTTACTCTCGTTTAACACCATATATTTTGATCACAAGTTCCTAAAAATTAATTACTCTCTCGTTACTTTTCAAGTGATGTTTATAATCACTGTTAATTACTTAAAAAATAACGAGATGTCAAAAATTAATTACACTATAATGCACGTACAAAAAATATTTGAATTAAAATTATAGTCTATACATTGTATTATAAATACATTGTTTATATCTTATTTCATCGTTATTAAGGATATAATCATATAACTATAGCGTTTATAACATGTTTAAATTTTTATATAAGTTGGCTTAAAACGGAAAAAAATTCATCCATAACACTTTATCATGGAATCGACGTCAAGATGATTTATAGCTTCACTCGAACCGGATATAAATCGTAAAAGATGCACTTGAAGATGGTCAATGGTAACTGGAAAGTGAGTTTTTGCAGTTTGTATAAATAAACCTATATAAACTGAATTAGGAAATCACATTTCTATTCGTCATATTTATCCAACATTCCTCTAATAAAAACAAAAAATTATAAGAGAATGAATGAAGTGCATATTCAAGATGTAATGGAGAGAACATATATATTTGGAGTTTTGATTCCAATAACACGATTGCTGCTGTTGAGTTGATCATATGCTATTGTAATTGTCTGTTTGATTAGAAAAAGAAAGCCTTTCGTTATTTTTGGTTATTCTCTAACCGAAACAACCCGGTACTCTGGTTTACTCGGGTAAGCTAGTTGAATAAAAGGATGGGCTTATCATAGACCTTTTCCTTTAGTAACAACAGATCTTAAAAGCCCATTTGAAGACCCACTTCAAAATTTTATGCTTTAAGAAACCTAAATCCATTAAAATGTGTACATAATAAAAGGAACCAGACAGCCGTAACAAAATTGTGTGGAACATTCATAATTTTTTTTTGATAAAAAAAGTGTGTGGAACGTTCGTTGAAAAACCATATCATCATCACATGCAAAAAGCGTATAATCTTGTATGATTATTTGAAAATAAATGTATTAAAAAGTGATATAGTTATTATAATAACCAACTTTATAAATAAATGTTTATAATAGAAGACATAGAGCGTGATGTCCTGGATTTGTCTGGATTTTCTTTAAACTAAAGCATACTTTTGTCAGCTCAACCCTTGACTCTTTTTTTTTTCTTTCTTCCTCTTACAAGTCTAAATACGAATAGTTACTTACTAATCATACATTATAGCTCCGTTAATACCGCATTTGTACTACTAACTCAAAACAAATGTAACATTTATTTATATTACTACCAAAGAAAATTAAGAAAATTCGGACAACCAAAGTATTTTCATAAAACGCGGTTGAGTTGGTTGTCAAAAAAAAAAACATCTATTTATATTACTAGTTTTTCATTTTTATACTATTTGATTTGTTTTTTTTTTTTTAATTATAATTGAATAAGAGAAGTTGAAAAAAGGAAAAAAAAATGGGTCTATATGAAAGCACCCACTAGTCCACCTTCTAATTCACAAATTGCGCAACTATACACATCTCTATAGAGAGAGAGAGAGAGAGCTTTTAGTTCAGTTAGAGAGACAGAGCCAAAATGGCGAGATTCACGGTGCTAATTGTGGCGGTGGTGCTGGCTTTTCTAATGGCGGTGCCTATGCCGGGAGTGACGGCGAAGAAGTATACTGTCGGCGAAAACAAGTTCTGGAACCCAAACATTAACTACACCATCTGGGCTCAGGGCAAGCATTTCTACCTCGGTGACTGGCTCTGTACGTTCTCCTCTCTCTTCTTTCTCTATCTACTCTCTCTCGGATCTGCTTATGTGAGATCTGATTTCAAAATGGGTTTCCTTCTAGTTATAGTTTCAAAGTTTTCAACTTTTTTCTACCAAAGTTCTTAGCTTTTCGAGTTTCTGCAAATGCCCCTTCAAGTCTGTAAAAGGTCATCAATGCTCTGTCTATGGAGACAGGAGATTTGATTCACATTGTTTTTTTTTTTCCAAAACTGTTTCCTAATCAGTCCAGATCTGGTTTGAACACACTCTTAAGGTTGTTTGAATGAGAGACCTACTAGTACATTCCTCTCTCTCTCTCTTCTCATGTTTGGCTCGTTGTCGGATAAACAGTGTCCCACTGAGTTAAAGTTGAAATCTTTGATATCAGACATTTCCATTATAGCCTCAAAACCGTGTGTTACTTCTTTCACTTGTGCTTTATACGTCTTCGAATAGAAAGTTCTTGATTTCAAATCAAAGAAACGTCAAATCCTTGGACTAATGTTTTCTTTTAATGTTCTTTCTTGTTCTCAGATTTCGTGTTCGACAGAAACCAACATAACATCCTTGAAGTAAACAAGACTGATTACGAAGGCTGTATCGCCGACCACCCAATACGCAACTGGACACGTGGAGCTGGGAGAGACATCGTCACTCTCAACCAGACCAAACACTACTACCTACTCGACGGAAAGGGTGGCTGTTACGGTGGCATGAAGCTAGCTGTTAAAGTCGAGAAGCTCCCTCCTCCACCAAAATCTGCACCAGTCAAGAGCATTGGATCAGTTTCAATGGTCACAGGTCTCGCTCAATTCTTGATTCCTGCGTCTCTTTTCGCTTTCCCAGCGATGTGGGATTTGATCTCAAGGATGTGGTAGTGTGGGTGTGTGAGTCCTCAAAAGAAACCGATTTTTAAAAACCTCAAATTCTTTTCAGGGAAAGCTTTTAATTTAGCTGAGTCAATTTATCTTCTGTAATGTTGAAATTGTTTTTGTGTTTAATCTTTTGTTTTGGCGTGTCTTTTGAATTAATTGTTGAGAAAGTTGTATTTGATTAATTTGAGAAATTAACGCCTACAAAGTTGTCTTCGTAAATGAGTTTGGTTCGATTGTTGAAAGCAAAGGAGGTGTGTGTATTTGGATGATCTATATGTATGGATGAAATTAGAAAACTATATTATTATATATTGAAGGCATTGTTGGCTTATCTGTTCCATGTGAAATACCATCTGTGATTGTTCGTATTGTAGCATCACAAAATCCAACCACCACATGTCCTTTTCATAAAGCTGTCAAATCTTATATATATAATAACCAAATGGATTGAATTGTATGTTTGAATATGAAGCTAAATACTTTACTTGTGTTGTGTTGTTTGAATTTTGTTTGGAGGGATTTTTTAAGATTGCGCGTAAATTGGGTATTGGACCCCATAAAACGAAATCTAGAATGATGTTGTTGGTTTTGGGTGATGGGTGGTGGGGACTATATAGAGAAATGTAGATTTGATGAAATGAAGATTCTTGACTATCTCTCTATTTTGGTTACCATAATCGTAAGTTGTAGTTGTAGTATATTGATGAAATGAAGATTCTGGAGTCATGTCTTTGTCAGTGACAATTTAGACGTTAACGACTTTAAAACCCTCTTTACCCAAAAATGTGGATATAATAATAATTAGTGACATCAAGGCCTCCATAACCAGAAACGTCCTGTTCTCAATGTATCTACTTTCTAGTTGTGACTTCTTTTTTGAGTTATCTGATTTTTCTATTTGGATGACTATTTAGTATAAAGAGATCAAAGCCAAAACTTTTGTTACGTGAAAATGTAAAACACAAAATTTGTGACTCGATAACACAATTTTTTTTTCCCTTCAGCAGATAATTTTTGTTTAGACAAAAAAGGTAAACCGTAACTTGGGTGTACTTACTTAAACAGTAAAAAATAAACTTTAACTCAAGACGACAAGTTCGAACCGTGGAGCGTAGAGATTTGGAGCATTGTTACAGTTGTAGGAATTGTTTGAGAAACTAAAAAAACAAGGACGAGCTTTTTGAGTTTTGACCATATAAATCTTATGAAATGCTTCTTGTCCTACCAAAAAGTTCGTTTCCTTCTCCGGCAGTGCGCTCAACGCTCGTTTCTCCGACCCGGCAAGGAATTGCACGCCGTTTTAACCACTTCGGGATTGAAGAAAGCTCCGAGGTCGTACCTTACCAATGCGCTTTTTCAGTTTTATGCGGCTTCCGGTGAATTGGTTACTGCCCATAAACTGTTCGACGAAATTCCTCTCTCGGAAAAGGATAATGTGGATTGGACCACTTTGTTATCCTCTTTTTCCCGGTTTGGATGGTTGGTTGATTCCATGAAGCTCTTCGTGGAAATGACAAGGGAAAGTGTAGAGATTGATGATGTTTCTTTAGTCTGCTTGTTTTGCGTGTGTTCTAAGTTGGAAGATCTCAAGTTCGGTGAACAAGGACATGGGGTTGCTGTAAAGATGGGATTTTTAACTAGTGTAAAGGTTTGTAATGCCTTAATGGATATGTATGGGAAATGTGGGTTTGTGAGTGAAGTCAAACGCATCTTTGAGGTGTTAGAGGAGAAGAGCGTTGTTTCATGGACGGTGGTTCTGGACACAGTTGTCAAGTGGGAGGGTTTGGACAGAGGAAGAGAGGTTTTTGACCAAATGCCTGAGAGAAATGCTGTTGCTTGGACGGTTTTGGTTGCTGGGTATTTGGGAGCTGGGTTTACAAGGGAAGTATTGGAGCTTCTGGCGGAAATGGTGTTTAGATGTGGGCATGGTTTGAACTTTGTCACCCTTTGCTCGATGCTATCTGCTTGTGCGCAATCCGGAAATCTGGTCATTGGTAGATGGGTTCATGTGTATGCATTGAAGAAGGCAATGATGATGGGGGAGGAAGTAACTTATGATGATGTGATGGTGGGAACTGCAATGGTTGATATGTATGCTAAATGTGGAAACATAGATTCTTCCATGAAAGTCTTCAGGTTGATGCCTAAGAGGAATGTGGTGACATGGAACGCCATGTTTAGCGGGTTGGCAATGCACGGGAAAGGTAGAATGGTGATTGACATGTTCCCCGAGATGGTAAGAGAGGTGAAGCCAGATGATTTAACTTTTACTGCTGTCTTAAGTGCTTGCAGCCACTCGGGGATGGTAGAAGAAGGATGGCGATGTTTCCATTGCCTGCGCATCTACAATTTGGAACCTAAGGTTGATCATTATGCATGTATGGTAGATCTTTTGGGCCGAGCAGGTCGTATTGAAGAAGCAGAGATCATGATGAGGGAAATGCCAGTGTCTCCAAATGAAGTTGTCCTTGGTTCGCTTCTAGGCTCGTGTAGCGTGCACAGAAAGCTGGATATAGCCGAACGAATTAAACAAGAGCTTGTTCAGATGAATCCAGGCAACACGGAATGCCAAATACTTATGTCCAACATGTATGTTGCAGAAGGAAGGAGTGACATTGCAGATGGGTTAAGGAGAAGTCTGAGGAACCGAGGCATCAGGAAAATACCTGGTTTGAGTTCCATTTACGTTAATGATTCAGTACATCGGTTTAGTTCAGGAGATAGATCACACCCGCGAACGAAAGTGATCTACCTGAAGTTGAATGAAGTGATTGAACGGATAAGATCAGCTGGTTATGTCCTTGATGTCTCAGGCCTGGTTTCTCATTCGGAGGGTGACTTGGAGGAAAAGGAGCAAGCTTTGTGCTGTCACAGCGAGAAATTGGCTGTCTGTTTTGGGCTTCTGGAAACAAAACCGAGAACACCTCTTCTTGTCTTCAAGAATCTGAGGATATGTCGGGATTGTCATTCAGCAATGAAGATTGTCTCAAAGGTCTATGACCGAGAAATCATCATTAGAGATAGAAATAGATTTCATCAGTTCAAGGGAGGCTCTTGTTCTTGTTCCGACTATTGGTGAACAGATCAAATGGCTGAACGATATCAGTTCTTGCGACTATTTATCTTTTCAAACGAATTTGCAAATGAGACAAGGTTAAGCGAATAGAAAAATTTTCATTGAAAATCTATAAAGGGCGGTACTACAATTCAAATGCAAAGAAAAGCTGTGCTCTGCAAAAGGAGAAGACATAAAATGTGTTAATTTTATGAAAAGTTAGGGTGATATCAAGTAGCAAAATCTCAAAATCGTGACCAAAAGGAGCATTATTCTCTAATGATCAGTGGGAAGGTCCAGTATCTTCCTTCTCTGAATCGTCTTTGCTGGCAGAGTTTGGAGAGTTTTCAGCTGTTACTGTCTCATCATCCTCGTTCTGAAGAAGCGATGAGAATGATAAGGGGTTGTACGTCGAGCTAGCCTTTTGTAAACCTCTTATAGCTCTCATTGCAGCGAGTGTACTCTTATATATATCAAGATTTTCATCACCAAGAGTTGAGGAAGTCTCGGCTGAGATTCTTGGGGAGTGGTTCTGATGTGAGCTTGAGTGTGCTTGCCCTGTGCTGGAAGACTCTACAACTTCTGCCTCTGTAGGAAAGAGAAGCTCAAGATTGGCCTCACATTCCCGGACTAACCTAGTAAGTGGCTCTGTTGTAAAGAAGGGTTGATGGAGAACAAGCTGCGTGAAAGGCAAACGTAGAAGTCCACCAGTTCTTTTATCATACTTCTTCAAAATTTTGACAAGGCCTGGAAATCCAAGATGTTTTAGTATACAGTACACTGTGTAAATAAGATTTGGATTTTTTTTTTATTTTAAATAAAGATAAGATATATGTTACCTGCAAAATTAAGAGAGCTATAGTTTTTTAAGAGGACCATCTCGCCATGAATGGTAACAAGGTCTCTACGAATATCCATCATTTCTTCGCTGAACTCGCTTTCTGATGCGAACTCCCCATTCCTACCGTTCTTCTCCTTAATTAGCTCGATTCTTTCCTTGAGCTCCTGTTTGCAAAATGATGAACATACACAATTCCAATAAAGCCTTTGGATGAGATGGATAAGTCTTGAAACAAGCAGAACAAGCAGATGACCAAGAATCATTAATACCATAGGAAACCTTCAGCAGGGCAACTGAATCTACTAGTTGAAGCACACAAAAACTAGATCCAGTTTGATTAGAATTCATCACTAGAACTAAAATTAGGGCAATTTTGTTATAAGATTCTAGACAAATCCATCCTATCCGAAGCTAACCTAAGGAATGATCCACTGATCCAATACTAGAAACTTGTATAGCTCTGAATCAGTGGTCTGCAGCAGCATACAGCTTCAATCATATAAAGACAAGGTCTAATCTAAGGAATCCCCAACTCGACCTAAAATCCTGAAGCTACAGAAGACAATTCGGAGTAACAAGTAATTGGAAGAGGAGAGGAAGCAAAACCTGTAATCTGATAACGAAATCTTCTTCCTTATCAACGTAAAAATCGTTAAACTTGTCAAGTTCCTCGTTGAGAATCCGGAGAAAGGAACCCTGGAGATCCTCCGTAGGCCTGACGCCGGGAAGCACAACGTCGTCTTCGGCGGCGGAGGAGAGGTTAGTAGTATCAGCAAAGACGGGACGGGAATCGAGGTGATCGGAATCAGAGGGAGGAGGGAAATCGGGGTAATACTTGAGAAGCTTTTTCAAAGGCTTATAGCAAAGGAACTTGTCTCTCCACTCAGGTAAGGTCTCTTCGAGGTGAGTACGAAACTCTTTCCCGAATTTCATGTAGTTGGGATCTATCGAGATTTGGCTTGAGCTGGGCAGAGACAGACAGAGAGAGAGAGCTCTAGATAAGAACGAGCAACCGATAGAGAGAGAGAAAAGCCCCCAGTAAAAGGAATCTTCAGAGAGAGAGAGATGGAATCTGATGAAGTGGACGTGGATGGTTCTGATTTTATATTGACCTTTCCATCTTCTCTTTTCTTCTTCTTCTATATATTTTTATTAATTTGGATATTTTGTAGAATAATATCACCAATCAAGAAATTTCGGAACTAATATGGTTGGTGATGTTGGTATAAATATGTTAATTGGTTGATTAAATAAATCAAAGCGATAATTAATTTACGATAAATTTTGGTCATTTTTGTGGAACAATGTTTATATATATATATATAATATATAAAGATGTTCAAACAAAAAAATAAAGGTAGGGCTGGACGAAAAAAATTGGTATTACCAAATCTTCATAAATATTATAATTAAAAAATATATTCGATTTTCTTCGCTTTGATTCGGCTGATTATGGAGTATTAATTTGATTCATCAAATTTTTGTCGACAAAAAATAAAAATAAGCAACTTGTGATTACGCATTTATAATATGCCCATGGAAGTGCATGATCACAGAATTATTAAACTCTTGCTCTAAAGTGGCTCTTATAACCAGATCGTTCACCTGAGATTAGCCTCTTGACGGGCTTGAACGGCCATGCAGAACTATAAAATATATAAAGAATTATATTATTATTATAATTAATGTTCGTTATATTCCAATATATAAGATTCGATCGTCTTCCATGTAACGAGATTCCTTTACCGTATAATTTAGACATTAGATCCAAAATTAAATCCACTTAATTTGTTTATTTTAGTATATCACTTCACACTCTTCTAGTTTAACAACTAATACAAATTTGTTCTAGCTAGTTATGGTCACGACTCTAAATTATTATTGGCTGGAGTGTGTGACCCAGAGAATAAACATGATCTACTTTTATCATAATACTTCTACACTTCTAAAAGAAATAAAATCTTACTTCCACCAAGACTTTTTACGTAGGAACATTTACTTTAAGTATGATTAGAAACCAAATATATACGAAGATAATTATTATCCATAGAAAGAATGTAATAGCAAATTCAATCGAAACATATATGTAGCCATCGAAGTAATGGTAATTAAAATTGGGGTACTTGTTTGAAGCCATGGAAGGATGTGATAAGAGAGATTCTGATTCAAAATTTAGACTACATGATTGCTTGGAGTTCCCAACTTATTGAATCTATTAATAATTCTCCACGGCTGATATTATAGACAAAATCCGACTTTTTCTCGATTGAATCAGACAGCAAAATAGACCCTGTCAACTGGGATCGAGTCCTTACGCTGATCAAGGCATAAACCTCAGCGAAGAAGTCTAATATAATGACATTTGGAGAACGAAGTATATAACGCACATCTGGGACACTTGAGGTCTCTAGTGTTTGTTACGATGTGAGGTGAATGTGAATGCTGTTATTAGACGACAACAATACGAAAGATGTTCTTGACTTCAAAGAGGTCTTAAAACCGTATAAGATGCTTTTCGAAGCACAGATTTGTTCCTTCTTATATTAAAAAAGATGAATCATGAAAAAAAGAAATAAAAATACTAACCGGGGAGATATCACCCCCAGCTTTTTTTGGTATCTTATTGTAAAAACGGAGAAGAATCGTTTAATGATGAGCAGTGGCTTCAACCTTCTTCTGTGACATCGATTTGATCTGCAGGTGAAAAGCAATACATTCATTTACTTAACATATACTAAGATTTTCAACAGCATTTCAGGCATAGTTATATCCACACTTTACGATTTGGCCAAAGAGAGAACTGGAATAAGGTATGAAAACCAGATATGGGCAAACAAACAAGTAAACCTTTTAGAATATAACTCGAAATCACACAGCTCTAGTAACTTTAGAAAGCAACATCCAGAGAAAGATACCACAAAAAGGTATGTACACAAAGTCTTGCAACCAATGACTAATAGTTTAAAACTTCTACAAGTAGCATTTGGTTCCCTAATAGAGAATATAGATCAGAACTAAGACATACTCATTGGACTAGCAGAAAACAAACTAACAAAAAGAGCAAAGCAGCATTGTGCAATTCACAACTATAGAGCTAGGGAGAGAGCTATATAATGGTGGAAACACAACAAGGTAAGCTAAATAATCAAAAGCCAACAAACAAGACTTTCCTCACTCGCTCGAAAGATTGGTAGCTCGACAAATTTTATCATCATAAGAAATCTTCTGATAAAATTTGTATAGCTACCAATATTTCAAAATATAAAAACGCCACCAATTCATATCTCACAACACAATCATCAGATGGTATATATAAAATTTCAGAACCAATACATTTTCTAGAATCAACTAGAGATGATACTGTATAGCAGATTCATAGCAGGTAAAAGTGAACTAATTAATCAGAAATAGATGACAAAATCTTTTAGGAACTTTTTACCTTCAAGACCTTGAGCTTCATGTTCCCGTAGACGAGACCCAAGCCAAAAGCCGAAGCACGAGCTACCTGATCATCAAAGCGAAACAACTCGTTCAATTACACAAACTCTTTATAAAAAAAAAACGAATCGAAGCTACAGATCGAGAATTGGATGGAGATATAATTCACCAGAGCAAGAGAGCTGGTGCCGGAGTAGAGTCCTGGAGGTAGCGTCATTGTCAAAATCACTGTTGGTCCTTCGTCGTCGTAGTCTTCAGAGAAAAAAAAACCCTAAAATCCCAAATCAATCGAAGCTTCCGAAATCTCAAAATCGCGATTGGTTGGTGATTGACTGATGATGATGGTGCAAGTCTTCGCTCCTTTTTGAAATTTACCCTTTTACCTGTTTATTGGGCTTTAAATGGGCCTTAACAAAGACCCATGCAAGGAGAATCTAGAATTTAATACAAAGCAAAAATATATATCCAGAATTATTATTTTTTTATCCCACAATTTAATTGTTCTCGATGAATTAATATAGTTTCTGAAACTTTGCATGAGATATCTTTTTTGGGTCCAACATACACTTGCATGGGGTCGTATCCAAATAAATAGTATCCTATTATCATTTACGATTCATATATTTATTTATTATATGATTTATAGGTTTGGGCTTTTTGTATATCTTTGTTTTTCACATTTAATTGGAATACTGAAAAATCGGATTGGATCGGAGACCCTCAAGCCTAAGGCAGAAAAGGACATGAAACAACCAACATTAAATTTTATTTTTTATCTTACACTATAGAGCTAGAAATCGATCGACGACATGTCAGCTTTGTTGTTTTTATCACAACCACATTATCATTATGTATATATAACTCAAAATCTTTCATATATCTTATTGCGTCGTAAAAATGACACGCATGCATGCAGTTTTGTAGTTTACTTTAGTGGGTTACCTTGCTGGTTAGTACAGTGCAGTGATATAATTGGTTTTGCAGTGCAGTGATATAATTGGTTTTAACTGATAAAAGTGTTACAAGTGCTAAAAAAAAACTACATATATGTGTTCGAGAGACTTTCTTCTGAATCGGTCGGACGGTTGAATATATGATTCGTCGGGAAACATCGAGTATGTTGCATCGTAGTGAACTTTAAAGAAGAGATCACTCAAGAACGAGCAAAGATATATCTTCAAGTTTTCGAAGATCAATGGTTTTACTGAAACCAATTATCATGGCGAGAGGAGAGACGTCCGTGAAATGAAGTGATCGAGTATATAGTCAATGTGCTGCGGTAATAAATATACGATCGAAACTACAAAGAACATGAAACGAACATAGTTACGACTGAACAAGTTTGGTTGGTTCTTGTTATGTATCATTAAGCACAAAACTGAAACCAAATATTGCAAGAAATACAATAATAACGATAAATGATTAGCAACATAAATCTAATAATACATTGAGAACATAGTAAAGTACTCTCAACTCTGCATGGAACAAATTAATCCTATTCTAAACCTCAAGTCACAAAGCTAAACTAAGATTGTTTCACTGCGTCAGCTCTATCTATGCCTAAAATCTAGAAACCATGCATGTACGCACTGATTTTAGTTTCAAACATTAGTTTCATGTTTGTCTTTTTCTTATATATTATTGGGCGACATCATTTTCTTGGAAAATCCATCTAAATAGCAAAATATAAAACAGTAATTTAAGACTATAGAAAGCTAAATCTGGATTAGTCTAAAAGTTGTCTAATCAGAGTTTAAGCACAAAAACTAAAAACTAAAAAAAAAAAAAAAATCAAAAACATTCCCAAATTCCAACAATATCGACCCTTGATTCAGAACATGGGTGGTGAATCCGACGGTGAAGGATCAGCAAAGTTAAAAATGCTGTCCAAATAGTTCTTGCTGTCCTCGTAGTAGTTGCAGTCACCACCACTACTCTCGCCGGCCGTCTCGTTTTTCTCGCCGGAGAAACTCCTTTCAATTGAGTCTCCGCCGAGCAAAAGACCCGTGAACCCTTCCTCGATCCCTTCCCCCATCTGCGTAGCTTCGAACTCGTGAATCGTTGAATTGATCCAATCGTTTTCAGGTTCTTTCAGCAGACTCAGACCCGTGGATGATCCGACAAACTCTATCTTCGTCGGGATTGGTTCCTTCATCTCAGAGAATGACACTGTAGATGTCGGAGATTCAAGCTGTTGTTGTTCTGCATTGTCTTACGGAAAAATCAAAACAAAGTTCAAACTCACAATTTTGGAGAGATTTAGCTAGTGTGTGTGTGTGTTTTTTTTCTGTTTACCTTCGTTTGTTTTTGTTGTCCAGTTGGTTAACAGTGACTTGTGAGTGAATCCATGATGATGGTGATGATGATGAGACGATGCTTTGGTTTGGTAATGTTGTAAATGAAGAAGCTTTGATTCTCTAGCTAGCCTTGCTTCAGCTTCAAGCCTTGCACTTTCCCATTGAGCCGTGTGACTAAGTATCGCTGCGTTCTTGGATAGACCAAGGGAAGATAAAGGAGTCTCGTTTTTGGGTTTATGGGTCACTGGATCAATCCCCATTTTAACTAACCGTTTCTTCAAATGAGTGTTCCAGTAGTTCTTGATCTCGTTGTCTGTTCTCTTTGGCAAATGAGTAGCAATCGCAGACCATCTATATACAAAGAAGAATCATAAAGGCCAAAACTTTTCCAAAAGATTCGAGATTGTTTTGCTGCAAGAACAAACCTGTTTCCTAACAGAGCATGGAGTTGGATAATGGTTTGTTCTTCTTGTAAGTTGAATTTGCCTCTTTTGATGTCAGGTCTTAGGTAGTTAGTCCATCGGAGTCTGCAACTCTTGCCACATCGATGAAGACCTGAGAATAAGAAGGAAGACAGATGATAAAGTTTCTAATATACGAGCACAAAATGTGGAAAAGATCATCAAAAGAGAGCTCATTTAACTAACCAGCTTTCTCAGGCAATGAACGCCAACTTCCATGGCCATGTTCTTCAATATAAGCCAAAAGTTTCTGATCCTCTTCTGGTGTCCAAGGTCCTTTCTTCAAACCCAATTTGTCACAACACGGTGATCTACCCATTTTTCTTCCAAAAGCCAAAGAGTAGTACACTAATCTTATAACAGAACAAAATAGAAAAATATGTAAGAAGGTAAGCTGTAGAGTCTCATACATACATCACATGATCATCACCATCAGAGCAGCAAGAAAGGAATGCTCTTTTTGGCTACAGTTTTCTGAAATGTTAGTAGTGAAGCCATATCTCAGTGATGAAGGTTGATATATAGAGGAGAGATAGAAAGACACACACAACAAATGAATCCCTTTTTTCCCGGCTCATTCACATGGATGAGCATTTATTAACAATGGGGTCTAGAGAAGTTATTACCTTTGTGGCTCAAAGTCCTTGCAACAAGTCTACATAAACTCACACAGAGATAAAAAGCGGTGATCTTTTATTACCTGCCACTGTCACTTTTGCCATATCACAAGATTAAAAGCGGTTATTTCTTGTGCTAGAAGTAAATTCAGGTCACTCTATCTATTATGCTCTACAGGCTACTATACTAGCCCTCCCTTTGATGATCTTGCAAGTTACAATGAGATCAAAACTCAATAATTCAACCAATTGTTTTTTTTACTGTGTCTACTAGTGTTCAGCTTCTAGCTCTCTAATGTCGCATCAAACTTGTCTATAAAAGAAAGTTATTAATTATAAGAACAAAAACACACTAAAATCTTCAACAATATATTTTTACACTAGTTCAAAACAGATAAAGATGCCTTTGGTTTGTTAGCTAGCTTCAGATTACTACTACAGGTAGTCTAAGGCTTTAAACGTCCAAATTGTTTTACTCTCAATGTATATGCTATAATTAGTCATCATTACTCAGTAGCACTACATCATTAATATCGAATGGATTGGATTTTAAAAAAAAAAATCTTACATTATTTTCTTACTTCAACCTTTGCTAAAAAGAGTAGGTAGTAAATGCTGTGAAATGGCGGTGACTAAGAGGAAACTGACACTACAATAGTAAATCAATGAGACAGAGAGCATAAAAGTAGAGGAGAAAAAACTTAGTGGGATGCAAGTAGATTAATTATATGCATAGACTTTCTTCTTTCTTCACTTTGTTCATTTCTCTGAAAATGGTAAAATTCAAACTTGTGTAAGCAAACGATTAGAGTTCAGAAATATTTAAGACTACAACAAAACTCACACGCAACTCTATATTAGGTATGCACTAGGCAATACTAGCTAGATCAACCCTTTAGCATATACAATTGTAGTCTTGCAAGAAAATGAGGTTTCTAAGTTTGAATATAGTACTTGTGTGTATACATATATCTTAGGCGGCACATGGAACTATACTTAAGTAAAAATTTAAGAAAAACTCTCTAACATTTAAATTTGTTAGGAAGCACTTTGGAGTTGTAGAGAAGTCCACTGGTTGCTATATATTGTTCTTGATGTCAAGTCAATGAGTCTAAGAGTATATCTCTACATCTTCAAATTGATTTTATAAATTCAGAATCTTTTGGACATCCTCTGAGAACTCAAAATAAGCATCAGAACTTTCATCACTTCAGTTTAAAAGCTAGACATCCTCTGAGAACAATGATATTGTACTCAAGTCACCAGAAACCAAAACTGATTAGATAGATGTTTAAGATCAATGGTACAAGAAACCGGTTTATCTCATCTTATGGTCTAAAAACATCCAAACGATGAATTGATCTTATATGGAAGTGGTACCTTGCAGGTGTACAAATGTTATCATCAAGGTAAATTACCCTGCCAAGAAAGGTAGATGATTTATGAAGGCAAACGGTGACATTAAAGAGTTTTTTTACAAGACAAAACAAGGGAGAGTAGCTAAAATGTGTTCCATGAAAGGCAAAAGATGGATTTATTGAGGTGGGCTCCAAGCTTGTGGGGTAGTAGTAGTAAGAAGTATCTTCATCGAATCAGAGAACGATAAGACAAAATCATAAAGAATTGTACAAATAAACACAAAAAGAAATCAGTTTTATAAATTAAAAGAAAAAAGAAAAAATGAATAAATGTGAATATGAAAGTTGAAGGAAGAGAGAGAGAGAGAGACTGAGAAGAAGAGCTAGATCATCATGATTCATGGATCAAAGAAAAAAAATCATATTGGCTGCAAATGATGTAAAGGACAATGGGGACAAACATCTATAAATGTCTTTGCTGATACCATATTGCCAGCTCCTACACTCTGTGTATGGTCCTTACATTACTTCAATTTAGCCTTCATAAATGACGCCACTTGTCGAGATTCTGTCGATCCACGAATCCCATAAAAAAGACTTCCCACATTTGATGCTACAAATCTCCTGCATAAGTGTACTTGATCAGACATTGCAAAAAGCAAGGAGTCACACATATGAAACCAAAAAACCGAGCCATATGACAAGAAGAGACTACTTAACATGCTCAATCTGCACTATTCGGACTAGAAAATATTCTTACACTCCTAGTTTGGTTCGGTAGTTACCACTGGTACAATAGTCCCAACAGTTCTATACGTATATATTAAGAAAAGCTCGCAAACTACTAAACCATAATCTAATACAAAACTTAAATATATAAAAAGGTTCATGTTAAACTTGAGAGTAATTGTAGACAAAAGACCTAAGATTTAATTAGCTAGCCAAGTCTCTATTAGCTACCTTTTGAAAGATTATGTATGCATCAACCTGTCAAAATATAGCAATTAAGGCCTGGAAAACAAAGTCTTCAGTGTCACAATTTGCATCCTTTAAAGCTGAAATCAAGGATAACTATATCCATGACATACAAAAAAAAAACCAGGTTTCTTCAAATATAATCCAAAAGATATGATTAGATCAATCATACAACTTACAAGTCAACAAAAAGGCTAAACAGCATAAAAAACGTGTCAACCACAAAAGGCAAAACACAAGGCATTAGTTGTGAGTAAATTCATAATTGGCAGACAAACACACACAAACCAACAAAAGAAAAACTCACAAGTAAGCAAAGAAGTAATAGTAAACTTAGTACAACAGAGACAATTGTCAAAGGACCCGACTAGTGACGGATCAATTCCTCGCAAAGTCACCTTCACAAAGAGTACATAAATAATTGAGACATCTCGAACGACCAAGAAAAGGAGGAGAAACCCAGTAAATTAAGTAACAAACATTAGTGTTCCACCACCAACAAGACCAGCTACTGTACGAGTTATTTAACTCTCTTTTCAATTTGCTGTATTTTGTAATCCGTAAATCCCCACTTCTCTGTTTACTTGTGTCTTACGATACTCGAATCTTTGTGATTTTTTACAATTGAACCACATGGTCCGTTAACCCGAATGAAATTATTTTCTTGTACCGGTTTGATTTTACTAAACCGGAAATCACTTTTGAATATCGAGACGAGAGCCCAGGAAAGGGAGATGAAAACGCGATGATCAGGAAGCAAACCAACGACCGAACCAGCAATCGCCGCCGTCCAAAACTATGGCAGAACTGCACAAATTTCCGAACTTTGAAGCAAATTCACGCTTCCATTGTTGTTAATGGTCTCATGTCTAATCTTTCTGTTGTTGGGGAGCTAATTTACTCGGCTTCTTTGTCGGTTCCAGGTGCGCTTAAGTACGCCCACAAGTTGTTCGATGGAATTCCTAAACCGGACGTATCTATTTGTAACCATGTGTTGCGGGGCTCTGCTCAGAGTATGAAACCTGAAAATACGGTTTCTTTGTATACTGAGATGCAGAAGCGAGGTGTGTCGCCTGATAGGTATACGTTTACGTTTGTTCTCAAGGCGTGTTCCAAGCTTGAATGGACAAGTAATGGTTTTGCGGTTCATGGGAAAGTGGTGAGACATGGGTTTGTGTCGAATGAGTATGTTAAGAACGCTTTGATCCTCTTTCATGCTAATTGTGGAGATTTAAGAATTGCAAGTGAGCTTTTTGATGATTCCGCGAAAGCTCATAAGGTTGCTTGGTCTTCTATGACTTCTGGGTATGCTAAGAGGGGAAAGATAGATGAGGCTATGCGTCTTTTCGATGAAATGCCAGAAAAGGATCAGGTGGCTTGGAATGTGATGATTACTGGTTGTTTGAAATGTAAGGAGATTGATAGAGCAAGGGAACTCTTTGATAGATTTACAGAGAAAGATGTTGTGACTTGGAATGCAATGATCTCTGGATATGTAAATTGCGGGTACCCGAAGGAGGCACTTAGTATATTCAAGGAGATGAGGGATGCTGGTGAACACCCAGATGTTGTGACAATACTGAGTTTGTTATCTGCTTGTGCAGTCTTAGGAGACTTAGAAACTGGGAAGAGCCTTCATCTCTACATCTTGGAAAAGGCTTCCGTTTCGAGCTCCATATATGTGGGCACTCCAATTTGGAATGCTCTAATTGACATGTATGCAAAGTGCGGAAGCATAGATAGAGCAACTGAAGTGTTCAGAGGAATGAAAGATCGGGACTTGTCAACTTGGAATACTTTGATTGTTGGTTTGGCTTTGCATCATGCAGAGCGATCAATTGAAATATTCAAAGAAATGCAAAGGTTGAAAGTCTGGCCAAATGAGGTGACTTTCATTGGAGTTATATTAGCTTGCAGCCATTCAGGAAGAGTTGATGAAGGGCGTCAATATTTTAGCCTTATGAAGGATATGTATAATATTGAACCAAACATAAAGCATTATGGTTGTATGGTAGACATGTTGGGGCGAGCAGGGCTATTAGACGAAGCATTTATGTTTGTGGAGTCGATGAAGATTGAGCCAAACGCCATTGTTTGGCGAACCCTTTTAGGTGCTTGTAAGATTTATGGGAATGTCGAGTTAGGAAAGTATGCAAATGAGAGACTGCTCAGTATGAGAAAGGACGAGAGTGGCGATTATGTGTTGCTCTCCAACATATATGCTTCCACAGGTGAGTGGGAGGCAGTGCAGAAAGTAAGAAAGATGTTTGATGATACAAGAGTGAAAAAACCAACTGGAATTAGCGTGATCGAGGAAGACGATGATAAATTGATGATGAGATATTTACTCGCATCAGAATCAGAATCAAGATCAAGAGGTCGGATTAGTTAAGGTAGAAAACCAACGCTTCATTGGCTAACTATGGACAGTAAGATTGGATATTTTCCACAGTAAGATAGGTTCTTTCCTTCTTTGTTTTCTGAGTTTTCGAGTCCTTTCTGTTGTAAGAAACAGATCACCGCATTTGATAGGAAGTTTCGATATGTTGATGTTTATAGTTTGACACTCTTTGACTTCGAGATGATCTTTGGCCGAATTTTTGTGTAACATAAAGTTAACGTTATAGCTTTTGTCTTGTCATCTATAATGGTGATTTCAATCATTTCATGATTTTGGATTTAGAAAACAAGATTCTGTAAAGGAGAGAAGATATAAGATACTGTGGTAACTGACCATTAAAGCACAACTTTTTGACAGAGTAACCCGTTACATAAATCACACAGAAAAATATCAATGGAGATAAGAAAGAAAAACCACAGATGCTGAAGAAACACGACTGAAAGCTCAAGTTAACATTTTTACACACCAAACCATGAATTTCTTAAAGCAGGGAGAAGGAAAACTTGTATATAAATGGTTAAGACCAGATCTTCAGTTGCGTCGGGAAAGAGCAATAGCTGATAGGAGAATAAGAAGAATGAGGATGAAAACGGCAATGAAAGATCCAATCAAAGACCCGGAGATACGCTCACAGAAGGAGTTGAACTGTTGACAAATAGCAAACCAGTTTGTTTTATTGTTCCCATTGTGTGCCAAGTAGACAATGGCAGCTGCTGAGGAAGCTCCAGCAGCTAGAAGACCCAACATTACCTAACACATTAGGAGGAATCAAATTGTCAAGCAGTACTATCAAACTGTAAGCTTTTTCATTTCTACCCACATGATTTACTCTGTGTAAAAGCTCATTAGTTTTTTAGTTTTTTTTTTTGTTATATGGGTTTTAACTGCAAAGCTAACAAGAAGGCACACGGCTATTAAGCCGAATGAGTTTGAATTTGCTGATGAGTGATGACTTACCACATCAAGGACGATAAGAAGAATTCTACTATTCTGAGTCTTGCTCTTGACAATGTGTACAAAGGCCAAAGTTAGAGACAAGATAAGGTAACCGCTAACAACAGCATTTGCTACCACAAAGAACCTGATTGATCAAGCAAACCAAAGGAAAAAAAACACTTCAAGAATCATTCCCTCATATATCGAAAAACAGGTGACAAGTAGTTTGAAAAGAAAAAGATTCACGTACGTTAAGGCTGGGAGATCGCTGTATTCGGCTTGGAACCGTATGAATTGAGTAAAGAAAGGCAGAGTTTCATGTGTGGTTCCCATGAGGATTGCACTACCCATAGTGTTAAAGCATGCAACGATCCTGAGGATAAACTCAAGAATGGCAATCCTTCTGCTCATCAGTCCGCTCTTTTGAATACCTTTGCTAGTTTCCACGATGTCAGCTTGACCGGACTTCATTTTCTCTAGACTTTTCTTGAGAAGGAAGTTAGGGTTAGCTTGAAAAGAAAAAGATGCTGTGAGATTTTTGATGAGGGTTAAGAGAATGAGTGAGTGTGTATATATAGTGCATGCTTTGGGACATAGACTCATAGTAGTAGTTATGATAAGGTCCTTATCACTTTGTACTTGCTAAAGGTATCCCCCCTTTAGTGATATAATTTCATAAACTTTGCATAAAATATATTCTTTATAAATCCATACGCACAATATTAATAACCTTCATGATCCACCAAATCTCGAAACTTGTCAAATCTGGAAACGTAAACTCTGTCCACATTTAGATACAAAATCTGTAGCTGGAACATGTGGAGTAGTTACATGTTATATATCATGTATGATGATAAGTTATATTAATGGTATTAGTTATGTTCGCAGATGATTAACAAATCCACTTAAATATTTTAAACTCATCTTTTATTGTAGGAAATCTCTAGATAGTTGGAAAATTTAAACTAAAGCTCCTAAGTGATTGGAGATGTTGAACCCAAATGTGTGTTCATGTGTCAAACACAGTCTATTTTAAGGTTATTAATCAAATAAAAAAACTATTTATTTATTAATCGAAGCCAAACCATATTAAACTGAAGTAGGACACCTAAACCAAATAAAAAGTATGTACGCTTTATGAGTTCGAAGAGATAACTTCAGCTTTTGAGTTGGCTTATGTGAAGATGAATTAGTCAAATAACGCAAAAGTTGACAACAACAAAAGTCAAACTAAACACTCTGGCTCTCTTAGGGGGTTCCACGTTTGCGCCACGATCGTTAAATTACATAAAAAGAACACAAGTTTTTTTATATTTATAAATTAGCGTCAAACTTTTAAAAAATGAGTCATCGCTTCCAAGTAAACCCGTTGCCAGAGAGAAGTCTAGACAAGAATCCTTCACCAGCTGTTGTCTTTTTCTCTTTAGCAGTGCTCATGTTACTGATCAAAGACCAATGGGTCTCAAAATCAATTTCATAACCACACTTCTGCATCATTTCCATCATCTCCGAAGCTTTCACTGTATTGTTCTCTACTCGAAATTGATCAATCACAAGCTTGAACATCTCTTGGCTCGGTGTTTCGCCTAGCCCAACCATTGATTTGAAGAGTCTTTCTGATTCCATAACTTGACTTGCCTCACAATACTTAAGAACAAGACCACTCCATGTACTTAATTTTGGACTTAGACCTAATTCCACCATTTCTGTTTGAAAGTCCATAGCTTTTTCCAATTGATTGCATCTCAGCAAGCCACTGATGACTGAATCATAGCTTGAAGAATCTGGAATGCTTCGGTTCTTCATCATTGTGTTCAAGAGATGAACCGCTATGTCAAGACTCCCGTGGTCAGATAGTTTCTTGATTAGATTATCGTAGTTGGGAGCCATGATGCCATTGCGTGTCACACTGGTCAGAAAATCTTCAGCTTTTGGAATTTCTCCTTTCGAAATTAGGGATTCAGCGATTTTGGTTTCGACAACTGAAGAACCCAAAATCCAGCCTTTTGATTCCATTACCTGCCACAAATCAAGAGCTTTCTTCACATTTCCATTGTCACACAGAGACCTTGTAACTGCTCTTATGCTTCGATGATTAGGTTTCATCCCCTCAGAGATCATAGCCGAGAGATATTGCACAGAACTTGAATAATCTCCAGACAAAGAGTATCCGTGTACAAGAAAATTAAATGTGGTTTCATCAGGCAAAAAACCTTTCTCCCGCATTTCGAGCAAGACGTTATTAACCTCCAAACGATTCTTAGCCTGAAACAGATAGAAAATCAGCAGATTATAAATGATTACTCCGCCAGGATTGCTTTCTCCTAGAACCAGAAACTCCTTCAGCCTTATTGCAGACAGAAACTGACGTTCTAAACACATTTTCCGAACATATTCTCTGTAACTCATAACCGAACAGATTATGTTCTTTCTCACCAAGATTCCTAGGACTTCCTCAACTCTCCTCCAGTTGTTACCTTTACAATAACCTTGAAACATCAGATTGTAGATATCGGTATTCGGTAAAAACCCGTTTGATAACATTATCCTTAGCTGCTTTTCTGCATCGAGCATCATCCCAGCTAAGCATAGTCCTTCTATCAAAGCACAGTGGACAGAAGATGAATCTGATTGCTCTGCTAAAGTAAATGCCTTTTCTGTTTTGTTAGCTCCACAAAGTCGAGGAATTAACATCAAAGAACTTCCCACGCTCGGAAAGTGTTTCTTGTCTAGCATTTCGTCGAGTATATCAAATGCAGCTGAATCATTCTTCTCCTTGCAGAGTCCTCTGATAAGATGATTGTGAACCACTTGTTCCAAAATGTAACCTTCTCCTTCAAGCCTTTTAACAACAGAATGAGCAATAGATGCAAACCCAAGAACTGTGAGCTTCTCGACGAAAATCATACAGGCTTCTGACTGTGATAGAGGATAAGATATGAATATGTGCTCAAAGAGTTTAACGGCTTCCTCCACCAATCCTTTCCGTACAAGACCTTCCCATAGAGCTCCGCAATAGATCAAATCAGGTAACCAGTTAGAATTTTGGGCAGCATTCCACACATTTAGAAGATCATTTAGTGTTTCTTTCTTACAAAAACAACTAATCAAAGATGTGTAAGTTGCATTATCGATAGGATGATGCATTTGTATCATTCGATGGAAAATGAGTTTGCTATGTCGGTTAAATCCCTTCTTGCAATATTCTTGGACAAGAACGTTGAGGGTTTCTCCATCTAACTGATTAGCCAGCTTTGGCCATTTTTCCAATAGGCTAACACTTACTTTGACATGGAAACGTGATGCACAGAGACTCTTCATTAAAACAGCAAAACTCCGGCGTGATAGTTTTTGACCCCATCGAGCCATTTCATCATGAAGCTTCAATGCTGTTTGTAAATCGCCGTCCTTACATGCTTTAACGATAAGCAAATTAAATTCCGGAAGCGCTGATCTATCAAGTAACATATTCAACCTCTGCTCGTAAGCATCCAAATCAGTGTGCAAGTATAAGCCATTCCCAAGATCATCGAAGAATTCAGCTTTGGATAATTTGGAATCATTGTCCCTTTTCAATTTAACAGCTAAAGGATCAAATCCTACTAAACTAAATGCTTCTGAAAGCGGATCTTCAACTTGAGATGCTTCTATCAACCCATAACCAAACATCTCCTTAACACTAGCCTTAGCTTCTTCAAACCGTCTAGCTTTGCAGTATCCAGTTACCATTATCTTAAATGTAAACAAGCTGGGGAACAGGCCATTTTCCTTCATCTCATCCAGAATACAACTGGTATGTTGCCACAATCCTATTCTAAAAAGCCCACCTAAGATAGCATTATAACTACACACATCGGGTTTAAAACCCTTTGACGTAACCTCAGATAAGTAAAGAAACCCTCTTTTGATATCTCCTTCATAACAACACCAACCAATCAAGATACCGAAGGTGACTTCATCAGGATTAAAACCTAAGCGCACAAGCTCTTCCATATATACAGAAGCTCTCTCTGAGCCAAACCTTTTGCAGAGTGAATGTACAATCCGATTGCCAACAAACAAATCAGGTTGATATTTAACTTCACTAATGAAACTCAACAAATCCTCAAAGTCTTGCTTCTCGCTGTATCCTAAAGCAATCTTACTATAAACTGAGCTATTCAGGTTACAACCCAAAGCCACAAGCTTTCTCGCTAAGACTCTAGCCTCCTGCACTCTCTGGTCCAAGCAAAGCAACTCAATAACTTTCCCGATTCTATCTAAGTTCATCTGATTTGATTCAGCAGTTGTCTCCACCCAATCCAAACAAATTCTATATGCTGATTCTGTTCTGTGAAATCTGACCAAATAATTAATAAGAATCTGGTAACACGAAGCTACAGGTACTAAACCCCTACGCCTCATCCAATCAAACAGCATAACTGCCTTCCTGGAATCGAAATCATCTACATATTTCCCGATCAAATCACAGAAAATCCCCTCCTTAACCAATGTATCTCCCGTACTCTCCATCTCCATAAGCAACAATTCAACTTCCTTAACCATACCTTCCCGGATAAGTATCGAGGCCATGACTTCACAAGCCTGAGGTAAATGCTTAAACCCTTTATATTGCCCACCAGCCCATCTGAAAATCTCCCATAAAGCTCGAACCTTTCTACTCCCAATTCCATCTTTTTGAACCTCAGTTTGAAAACCCAGTAACAACTCAAGCACATTTTCGGGTTTCAAGCCAGGAAATCTCATAAAACTACGGGTAATATTGGGAACCACATCGGACAAATCCAAAAGCAAGTCTTTTAGATAGGAACCAGTAACGCCACGGACCTTCGTTGCCCCACCAACAGACCTCGAAAGTAAATTAAACGAGGAAGATTCATAATTTCTTGGGATAGCTGAATCATTTCCCAAGGAAGAAGAGGACGAAGACGCTGAGGTAGTAGAACAAAACTGGAAAGAGTAACAACGACATGAGAGAGATTTAACCTTGTTAAAAAAACGAAGGCGAGTAGAGATAGTGGTGGAGAGAAGATTAAGCATACGACTTGTGAAATCAATGGAAATTTATTTGCCTTCTACTTATTCAACTGCTGCATTTGAGCTTTCACCACGACGACGAAAAGGAAATTAAAAGATCGAAGCTACTGATAAAGCGACACCGTTTCAACTTATTGTAAATTGTAATCAAATAGGGTTCTGAAAACTCTTAAACAGGCCACTAAATTAAAATGTTAGTAATTACATATTTTGGAAGACAAGTAATTATACAAATCTTTATTGATCCAAGTAGTTTTACACAAAGAAGTTGTTTCACTAGATCTAACTAATTGAAAAGTTGAAATATAAATTGTTTTACCAATTTAAAACATCATTCAACAAATGAAGAGATTGCTTTGAGATAGGCAGCAAAATCCGGTTGGCTCAGGTAAGAAAATCAGACAGTCATAGGCTCGAAATGACGGTCTTTGGAGTATTCACAGTGCAAACTTGCGGAGAGATGAAGTTACCGGCAATCTAATGTCCAAGAAATTGGTTTCCAATGACGAGAGTATCTTCCAGATGTAGCAACCTGTCTTTTTAACTCCTGGCAGGGAAGCATATGTGCAAACAAATAATATAGAGAGAAGAAGTTTATATACCTTTCATGTGGACCAAAAGGCATAACAGATTGATCTTAATGCCCAAAATGGTTGATTAACCTGAAGAATCTCGACAATAATTGATCGATTCTCACTCATCTCTTTCCCTGCAAAAGATCTGTAATGACTCTTGAAGACCGTTAAGGCAATAGTTTGCGATACGGTAACCTGTCAAAGGGAAGCTTAAGCATGCTGAAAGTAAAACCAATGCAAGAGAGCGTTTGACATAAGTTAAATCGTTCATACAAAAGGAACTACACACAACCAAACTAAGGTTTTGGAATCTGATCCCAGGAAAGAAAGATAAACTGAAACACAGACAGCATTACAGCCAAGGCCAACTGGATATGGTTATAACGGGTGGGAACTTGGTAGTATTTTGGTCACAGCGGACATGGACAGTTTTGAAACAAACTTAAAAATCTCATCCACATGTAATCGGGTCTCCTAGGTAGAGTTTGGTAATTCAGCTTGGTCATCTTGTTTGGTGGAAAAGGCTTCAACTGTGGGCTGTGGGGTTGGCTTCAGGCTTCAGGATCTCACACTGTTTTAGTGGGACGGGAAAAGGTCACAAAGGGAAAAAAGCAGTGAATCAGAATCTGACACCGGCACAGATCAGATCAGATTATGTCATGAACTTGGGACAAGTAGCTAAGGTAAACTAAGTTTTAAAGGACTTAAGCAAACGATATTATAATCTAACCTTTTTAATCACCCACCAATAGCTTCTAGTAATCATAGTTTCTACGTCGATAGGTAGAAGAATGGCTGGATAACCTGAAGACAAAACCCATGATCAGGATCAACCACAAAGAATTGTTAGGCATACGAAAACCAAAAGTATGTGCAGTACATTGACATTAAAAACAGTTGATAAAGGAAGTTCTAAAGGGTAAACCGGTAAATACTTCATAGTGTAACAACTACATCAGGAAAGAAATAAACTCACCCAGAACTGCCACTGCGTCCAGATGCATAACCTCCATACACTCCATATGGAGTACTACTACTACCACCAACCTACAAAAACACGTCCGAAGACTCATTAATTGAGAAGCGATATGTTGAAAACATGTAATGAAACCTTTTAGAAGACATACCGGTGCGCCATAAGGAGAATAACTCTCAGAAGACAAACCACTTGAGCCATAACCACCAGGATAAGGATTCCCGCGTTCCAGTCTTCTGCTATCTCTACTATCATAGTCCAATCTATCACCAGCATCTGGTGCAACAGGAACATATGGCAAGACCGGCATAAGTGCAGAAACAGCACCTTCCCGGTCAAAAACATTGGCTCTTAATCTTGATGTAATTTGTATGAGAGCATCCTTGGCAACGTCAAGTTCTCCAGAGATCTGAACATCAAAATAACTTCTGCTGTTAAGACTCCACGTGAACGGATTTAAGCGTGAAAGGATAAACTGCAATGGCAATTAGAGTAGCAGCATTATGATATTGTGAATTTTACCTGAACCATCTCATCATCGTCAGATGCAACTTTTGGAAGATTTTCCTTTCCCAGAACACGGATGTTAGCTTTGGTCATTCTTCTCATCTCAGTTATGATGGCTCCTCCTTTACCAAGGATACAACCAATCCTAGAACTTGGCACGAGAAGACGAGTGGTGAATGAAACAAGTCCAGAGTCTCTTTCCACCTTATCACTGCATTTTGGTTGCAGTCGCATAGCTGCTTCTATGGTTGGGGAATACGCGTCCTCAAAAACCTAAAACAGATAGACAATGTCAAGGAAGACAAGTTGGATAAACTATTCTTAAGTAAAAGACGGAGGGGCCTTGAAAGAAATTCAAACCTCTCTTGCTGATATAGTTATTAAACAATCATTTCCTTCAGTTCTAGAGCTATCAACTTTAATGGTTGCTCTGGTTTCCTGTCGAAGCTGATTGATTAGAGCACCACCTTTCCCAATAACACTTGCAATGTTTTCAACTGGGGAAACTAGGCGAATACAAAACTCTGTTGGCGGTGGCTCATTTCTTGGAGGTTGGTATAAAGGGCGTGACCAATCTCCAGCATCACGTCCATATGAACCCATCAGCGGTGCTATCCCTACAAGTCGAGGAGCACCCGCATGGCTCATCAGTGTACCAGAAGGATATCCACCAGATATTGCAGAAGAAAGTAGGTTCTGACTACGCGAAGGATTTTCATGAAGGCGAGAGGCAATCTGATGCAGAGCCTTCTTAACAATGAGCACTTCTCCAGATATCTAAAAAGAAAAAGAGATTTAAAGAAAAAAAAAAAAGCTTAGTAAGAAAGTGACTTCATAAGGAATTCGCCAAAAGACTGTTTCACTTCACACAGAAAAGGCAAATTATGAAAAACAGATAAATCTGCAAGTACCTGAATGAGCTCATCTGAACTCAAGGCACATAGAGGCATGTTCCTGTCCTTGATGATGCGAATTTGAGCACCTGTTTCACTCCGAATGTTCTGGACAATCTGGCCACCTCTCCCAAGAATACATCCGATCTGATCCGAAGGAACCAGCAACTTTGCTGTAACTTGTTGCTCTCCTTCAGAGCTATCTTCGCTTGGGCCATCATCTGCAACTACTCTATCATGGATCCTAAACAAAGCATCCTGCGCAGGAGAAAGAACTTTCTCTCCATCTCCAAAGGCATTGGTCTCAGCACTGGGACTATAGATCGTAATCACGCGTTCATCACATCCAGGAATTGCTTCCCCTATTCTAATTTTCGACCTAGTGTCCGTCCTCAGTTGCTTGACAATATCACCTCCTCTACCAATAACACTCCCAATCTTTTTAACCGGGCACAGGTATCTGAATACAGTATCATCACGATCAATCACAAGTGAATCCCTATCATCGCTACGATATCTCCTTTTGCTTCCACCATTGTCATCATAATCAGACTGAGGACGAGACCTCTTTCTATGGCTATCTCTATGATCCGGTGACATTGCACAAAAAAGGCAAAGTCTTTACGTTCCAATCACCTGTCAAATGAAAACAATCACAACTCCATATCTAAGAGTAACCTGAGTTCTTTCAACCAATCAAAGCAGAAATATAGAACTTCACAATCATTCAACCAAGTACATAATTAAGTATATCCACAGTGTGTGTTCATAAACAAAACTGTATGAATCTAAATCTATTCATCTATTCATCATTTTTTCTCAGAAGATCCAAAACAAAAACATAACATAATCAGAGCTCAAAACTCTAATCTATCAAACGAACAATCTACAAAGTAACCCAAATGAGGACAACATACTGAGGGTAAACAAATAGAGACCTTGAATTCATCATAGGAACGATTTGAGATTCCGATTACAAACCTTTAGATTCTGAGTCTGACGAAATCGATTTTTCGGATTTGGGGTTATTAGTATTTTCTAGGGTTTGCGCGGACTTTAATTAGTTTCTTTTCCCTTTTTGATTTCTTTTTTTATTTAAGAAATTAGTTTTTGTTAAAGAATAAAAAAAAAAAAACTTGGAATAGTCATTTGTTGGGTCACCGGTTTTTTCACCCCCATACATATTACATTCTCAGCATTACACCCTATACTTTTGAGCTCTTAATAAACCAACACAAACAAATTATTTCTACGTATAACTACCTAAACTCATTTTTTAAGCAATTTACTACACCTCCAATTAAACCAGAAAATCACGATCATAAAACCGATTAGACCAATAAAATTGCGTTTTACTCGATTGCGATCAGGGTAAACCGATTACTAATTGCTATCCAATATTATACGACGTCTTCATGCTAAAACAAAAAAGAGGTTGTGGATTAGGGTTCTTTTTCTGGTTCTTCAATCTAAATTTGTAATATTGGGGATTTAGAGAGGTTGTTCAGAGTGAAAGAGAACATGCTTGTGGAAGAGTCTCTTTGTCAACGTGATTCAGATGGTAGTGAGAAAAACAGGTACGAGATAGAGCGTGATGGAGACGACAAAGCTTCTGTAGAAAGGTCAAGAAAGAGGAAGAGAACGAAATCTCCTGCCAAAGAGAATGGAGGAGACGAGCGAGAGGTTCTTGTTGCTGGAGATGGTGAAAGGAATTATGAGAACAACGATGATGTTGAAAGGAATTGTGAGGACAAGGAGGTAGGGCAAAGAAAAATAGCAAAAGATCAAAAGATGAAACAGAAGAAGACATCATGGAGAGGTTTGACTACGAGGTAGAGGAAGCTGTTACAGATTGGTTAGATGAGTTTCAGATTCAGCAAAATACCATTCCAGATAGTTCGGATGACGAGGAAGATCCTGTAATTACTAGAGATAGGAAAATTAGGCTAGGAACAAATGATAAGTTGGCTATTGGTAGAACCTTCTTCACTGCTTTTGAAATCAAAGAGACTATGCTCCATTATGCATTGAAAAATAGAGAAAATCTTAGACAAAATAGGTGGGAGAAGAACAAAATCAGCTTTAGGTGTGCTCACACGCAAAAGTGTGGTTGGAAAGTATATTTTGCATACGATGAATCGAAGCAGTTGTGGGTTTTGAGAACTAAATGCATTGGTCATTCATGTTCTTCTAATGGGAAATGCAAGCTGTTGAAGAGCCCAGTGATTGGTAGGTTATTCATGGATAAACTAAGGCTACAACCTGACTTCATGCCTCTTGATATTCAACGCCATATTAAGGAGCAATGGAAATTTGGAAGTACTATTGGCCAAGTTCAGAGAGGAAGACTTCTAGCATTGAAGTGGCTAAAGGATGAATATGATCAACAATTTGCTCATCTCCGAGGCTATGTTGCTGAAATTAAACTTTCTAATCCGGGATCAACTGCATTTGTTGATTGTGTCTCTAATGCTGCTGGGGAAGATGTATTTGATCGGATATATGTATGTCTTGGAGCAATGAAGAATGCATTCTACTATTGTAGACCAATCATTGGTATTGATGGAACCTTCTTGAAGCATGCTATTAAAGGTTGTCTATTGGCTGTTATTGGTCATGATGCAAACAACCAAATATATCCAATAGCATGGGCAACCGTTCAAGCTGAGAATGCTGACAACTGGCTTTGGTTTATGAATCAGTTAAAGCTTGACTTGAATCTAAAAGATGGGAGTGGGTATGTAGTCCTCTCAGATCGTTGCAAGGTAATTTTTTTTTTCCTATACATGGTTTAGTTTTTCCTATACAAGGTATGCTAGTTACCACCTAAATTGTAGTTTTTACGTTAGTCTTACGTAACTCAGTTTTGATCTTCAACGTTTAGTATCTTTTTAGAAGAGAAAATTTAATTATATGATCTTATATAATGCTATTTTGGATTGACTTTTTCATATGATAATGGTTTTAATTCGATTAGGTAACAAGACCAACACTATCATCCACTTACGTTCATATATAAATGCATGCGTACTCCACATATAAATAGGAGCATATGAGCGTATCATAAGGTTCGAAGTAGCTAGCTAGGCTGTGCAAGCTAGATATGTGACTTGTTCGTTTGGTTGATGTAGGGAATCATAAGTGCAGTAAAAAGTGTAGTACCAAATGCTGAGCACAGGCCGTGTGTCAAGCATATAGTTGAGAACTTGAAGAAGAGACATGCAAATAAAGATTTCTTGAAGATGCATGTGTGGAATTTAGCTTGGAGTTACAGCCATGATGAATATAAAGCTAACTTGAATGCGATGAGGGCATACAGTCTGTCTTTGTATGAAGATGTCATGAAGGAGGAACCAAAAACTTGGTGTAGACCTTTTTTTAAGATCGGTAGTTCTTGTGAGGATGTAGACAACAATGCAACAGAGTCATTTAATGCAACAATCGTTAAAGCAAGGGCAAAGGCATTGGTTCCAATGATGGAAACAATTAGAAGACAAGCAATGGCACGTATAACAAAGAGAAAAGAAAAAATACTCAAATGGAAGAAAAAGATATCTGAGTATGTGTCAGATATTCTGGAAAAGGAGGAAGAAGAAGCTATGAGATGTGAAGTCTTAAAAGGAACACATGGTAAGTTTGAGATTTGGGTTGATGGGAATTCAAATGGTCTGAACTTGACTTCAGGAAAATGGGAATGCTCATGCTGCAAGTGGCAAGTGACCGGAATTCCATGTGAGCATGCTTATGCAGCAATCATAGATGTTGGTAAAGATGTTGAAGATTTTGTATCTCCATTCTTTGGTTCCCAAGTATGGCTAGAACAATATGAAACAGGTCCTGATCCAGTGAGAGGTCATCGGTTTTGGATGACCAATAGCAACTACGGCCTACTGAAACCACCGCCAGAACCAAACCTACCTGGTAGAAAGAAAGGATCAAAGAAGAACTTTAAACGGATCAAGGGTAAGCTCGAGTCCCCAACGAAAAAGAATGGAAGAAAAGGTAAAGAACCAGAGATACTCAAACTATCGAGGAAAGGAAGGACAATGCTTGGTTTTGTTTGCTACGTCTCATTTTAGCTTTTGTAAACGTGATGCTCTGTATTTTTGAATTTAGAATTCTCATCTATTTGAGCTCATTTTCAATTAGAACATGTCTTAAACAAGCGTACACCACTAAGACACAAACATTTAGATAATTGTAACTCTTAAACAAGAGAACGTTAAAAAAAACGCTATAACCACTACACCACTACACACACAAGACATGAAGGCACCACCAAGAAAACAACAAGACACGAATAGACCAACAAGAAAATAACAAGACGCTGCAATCATTACACCGTTACACCAATTGTCTTTATTTGCATCACATGAACAGAGACTCCAACTCGGATGACTCCCTCACAAGGAAACGTGATGATGACGTTGAGGCGAGGCACAAGAAAAGAAAGAAGCTAAAGACGACGACAACTACATTGGTACCTTCCTCTGCTTCGAAGATCAAATGGTCTAAAAACGATGAGCTTGTCATTCTCGGGGTTAGTAGTTAGTGAATTCTCTACTCATGTTGTCCTACTAGTTGGCGTTTGTGTGTAAAAAGGGTATTGTGGACTACGAAAATGAAACGAAATTGAGCGACAGATCCAACCAGGATGACTTGTACCGTTATTTGATCCATCCTCTCTAAATCCCCAATATTACAAATTTAGATTGAAGAACCAGAGAAAAGAACCCTAATCCACAACCTCTTTTTTGTTTTAGCATGAAGACGTCGTATAATATTGGATAGTTATTAGTAATCGGTTTATCCTAATCGCAATCGAGTAAAACGCAATTTTATTGGTCTAATCGGTTTTATGATCGTTATTATCTGGTTTAATTGGAAGTGTAGTAAATTGCTTAAAATAATGAGTTTAGGTAGCTATACATAGAAATAATTTGTTTGTGTTGGTTTATTAAGAGCTCAAAAGTACAGGGTGTAATGCTGAGAATGTAATATGTATGGGGGTGAAAAAACCGGTAACCTTCATTTGTTCTAAGTTCTACAATTATTGGTGGTGAATGGACCACCCTAGAAAAGAAAAATATTTTATGTTGAAAACTGCTAATATTATTTATCAAGATTTCGATTCGGATAGATAAATATTAAGTTAGAGTTCGAAAAATTCGGTTTGTTTATTTAAAAATTATGAATCTATTTAAACCAATATGATATTCAAAAAATTATTTTGGTTGGATCGAAATTGAATCGTTTTATTTTAAATTATTTGATATTTAAAAAATTAGAAAGTATTATATTCATTGTTTCCCTTTAATTATATATTTTGAGGTATTATTTAAATTAAGTTATCAAATGTAAAAAAAAAAAAAAAATTTAAGAAAAATAAATTTGGTCTGATCTCTGTTTCTGGATTTTTTTCAAATTAGTCTTTTTCCGACTCAACTCCAATTTTTTTTAAGGTCTAGATTTTACAGTTTAGATTTTGTCCATCTAAAAAAGTAAAAAAAAAAAAAAAATAATAATAATAATAATAATAATAAAGAGAGAACAACATGTCAAAAAAGATTGATGTATGGGAAGATTTTAAATTAGAAAATGGTGTTTCCCATGAGTCCACCAATTATATAAAACATAACTTTATTACAATTTGAAGTCGTATTTTCCACAGTTGAGAGACTAGAGCTTAGCTTACAATAAATATATAGAATTTTCAAATTACATATTGTTATTTATTTATTGCAAAAATATCAGACACCAACCCATTTTTGTGTTCGGACAAAAAAAAAAGGAAACAAATTTAAAAGAAGCTTTGTATTATTCAAGTGGAGGGGATTGGGGAGGAGGAGATGCAACAAAACCATTCCAATTGGTGTTAGACCCCGTCGGCCCGTAATCCATCAGCTCCATCATCTTCCTCGTCATCATGCCTTCCTGCATTTATTTCCACTTTATTATGTCTATTCTAATATCATTATTTACAATATATAAGTTTCTTTTTTTTTTAATATAACAAACATAGTAATATATAACATAGTAACTGAAATAGATTTTGTATTTGTACGATATGATTAGCAATATATAACATTAGATAAAATTTTAAAATGCAAAATACTATAGATACAAAACCCAGTTACAAAACTGTAGTTCAGAAACTAAAACAAAAGTGGAAATCTGTAGAGAACAAAAGTTGCTATAAATAGAAGAAGGAAATCAAAGAGAGAAGTAGAGAACAAAGAAAGTACCCTGAAAGAAAAAAGCTCAGCAGTAGTGTAAACTCCTGACAACTTTGCAGTTCGCAAGTTTCTCCCCATGGCTAAAGAAAAGTTCACAAAACAAAAAATCATCAGTCATATTTTTTTTATTTTTTTTTTGTCAATAAAAATCATCAGTCATAAAAGAAATCAAAATCATAGGGCTAAAACATGATAATCTTTGGTAACAGTGTGATTTAGCCAACAAAGAAGAAGATGTCAAGTAGCTTATATTACGTACGTACCAGTGGAGAAGAAGATGAGTAGTAAAAGAGAGGAAACAAGAAGAACTCTGAAGAAACAAGATTGACCCATTGTTTGTCTCTTTGAAGTTCCTGAAGATTTTATTTATATTTAAACTTTATATTTATTAATTTAGTAATAATTGTTTGGTAAGTTACTAAACCAATTTTTCTATTACTATAATAGTAAAACTTTAATAAAGAGAAAAGAGAACCTTTAGCTTCAAGGTTTTCCACTTTTCCTGGAAACTGCTTCAGCTTCAGATCCAATGAAGGAAGATTGTAATTAGATGATTAAAGTACCATATTCTATCATTTTATTTTATATATAATTGAGTTATTATTAAGAGTTAATCAAACTTAATTATGGTTTAGATTGAAGATCATCAGGAAGCAAAGTCGCACGTGTAACCCCCAATGAGTCCACGTGATGTGAACTGGACTCGAGCTCCTAATGTCTGCCACTACCAAAGTCCAAAGAGTAGTAGTATTATTTATGAATGAATCTACCAAAGTTTCTTTAAAAGTTTAGGATATTATCTCCATTTTTAATTACTTATTATACAAATACAGTTGTTAAGTTAGGCCCTTAACATCTTCAACATCCGTATCAATCAGATTTGTAAAAGTTTGGTCCATGCGATAAAGGATCAATCTACAACAACTTTGCCATATATTTGTGGAATTCTCACTGACATTATTAAACTCAGATCTTTTAAGAGTTTCTTTTGTTGTTTTATTTACAGAGTTGTCAATCTTGAGGATGCTTATCTCTCAAAAGTACATTTCATGTCTATATGTATGCAGCAAACTTTGTTTAAGACTTTATAAAACTTGGTTGATAGAAAACAAAAAAAGTTAGGCACTTAATTAGGCTATCATCCACGGGGTTGGCAAGGAGGGACTTTTCCACTTTGGACAAGAACTAATATTTTTGGAGGTATATTACAATGGAAAAACACCAATTTGATTTCCTAAAATATATATATATATATATTTTAGTGAAGTACTCAAATCCATGATCGATTACCGTGTTTATTTTAAAATTAGGGACAAGGTTTGACTTAGTTTTAATTGAATATCATGCGCTCATTTTACTATTATAGCCGTCTCATTTTCATTTTAACACATAACAAGACAAACAAAATTGAATCAATAATTTTGTGTTATTAAAAATTAAAGTTATTGCTAAAATGGCGTCGACGCATGTGATTAATGGGAGTATATTTTTATGAAAATCAGTGCCTTGCCAAATTTCATGAGATAAGCAAAAAAGAACAATTAACATTGGTTGTCTGCTTTTCCACTGTGCTCTCTAAATTGATAAGTCAACTTAAAGTCCAAACACAAACTTAACTTAACTTTAAGACTATTAAGTGTCCAATTTCTCAATTACGGCAGCAATATTATTTGTTAACCTATGTACTTTGTGGACTTTAATGGACCCATATTAGTATATTACTGGTTAACCTAAACCTTTTGTACTTTGTGGACTAAATAAATGGTCTGAAACTCAAACCTCGTTCTTTATTTCTTTTTAAGTCAGCTGCCAAACAAATGAAGATCTGAATGGACCGATCAGTGGAAAGTGTAAACAAACCAAAAACGTGTTTTTCACCCACTTCAACTACTTCGGACGGTGCGTTTGGTCTGGTCTGCTCGTTACAGTTACACAACTAAACCACTATAAAGTGCTGAAGACTTATTAGTTACTAGATGGCCGACAAACAAAAGCTAATACTAGAAATTGGACTTGGGCTTCATTCATGACTTTGGGCTTTTTCTTGTGACTATTATATACATATAAAAAAAGAACAATATATAAAGTGATAAAATATAATTGTTAGAAAAGAGCCAAAACAAAAATAAAATAGAAAAATCTAATGAAGCCTAGAGAAAGAGATGTCTAGTGACCCACGAAATCAAGAAAGTATCTAAAATATTAAAGTAAGAAAATAATAACGCTTTGATTTTATTTATTTATTATTAAAGGGAATGTACAGTAGTACTTTGGTAAGTCATGGAGATACATACACCTACGCACGCACGAACCATAAAGAGTTTTAACTCCGCTCGTAACATAATCTTAACGCGTGGTGGTGACCTCCTCTCTTCTCTTCTTACACAACACGATCACCCCAATTCGGACCGTAAAGAGATTTTAAAAAAAAAAACTTCAAAATCGTCATCATCATTGACGAACACGATCTAAATTTCCTTTCTACATATATAATTCCCAAACTCCAGATATTTTTTTCCCTTTTTGGGTCTTTGTTGTATATCCTACGGTGACGTTGTTGTAGTTCCCAAACCTTCCATTACGTTTCCGACTTATCTTTCGTTTCAGCTTTCCCCTTATTTGTAATTGTGAAGTTCAAGTTTGAAGATATTTTTCACCATTTGATGGATTGATCTGTTTTCGATTTCTTTCGTTTCCGTAAGGGTTCAATTGATTTCGATCAGATTGAACCCAGATTCCTTATCAATCCAGTCCAGTCCAATCCAATCAGGTTCATTTCAAATTCCTCTTTAGAAGCTCGATCTGATTTCAAAGTTTTGATTTTTATTTTGGTGTTTGATCGATCTGGGTGATTCTAGGGATACTTCACTTGGACTCTGAAATCGATCTTTGATCTGTTTCCTCAAAAAAGGATTCAACTTTTTCTGAGATGGTATATTTCCAGAACTCAATCTCACTCGCAGACCAATCTCCAATCATGGCTCACTCTGCAGATTTCAATCATCATTCGAAGCAATCAAGAAGCATCAACAAGAGATCATCATCATCATCAAGCTGTTCTTCAAATTTCCCAGTCTGCTGTGACGGATCTAGATCAGCTGCAATCGATGTTCTGATCCTAATCGCTGTGATCACGTCTTCCGGGTTCTTGATCTTCCCTTACATCAAATTCATCACTGTCAAGTCTGTTGAAATCTTCTCGGAGCTGTCTTGTTTAGTCAAAGAAGAGATTTTGCGTAACCCTGATCCTATTGTCTATGGTTTGATAGCTTTGAGCATCTCGTGCACTGCGTTATCTGCTTGGATGATTGTTATACTCTTGTGTAGTCGTCATAGATGTGGGAAACCCAACTGTAAAGGTCTTAGGAAAGCCAACGCCGAGTTTGATATTCAGTTAGAGACTGAGGATTGTGTTAAGAGCAGTAACAATGGAAGCAACAGTGGGAAGAGTGTTAGCAAGAAAGGGTTGTTTGAGTTGCCTCGTGATCACCACCGTGAGTTGGAGGCAGAACTGAAGAAGATGGCTCCACCGAATGGGCGAGCTGTGCTGGTCTTTCGGGCGAAATGCGGGTGTTCGGTTGGGAGATTAGAGGTTCCTGGACCTAAGAAGCAGCCATTGCAGCAAAGGAAGGTCAAGAGATGAAGCAAAAAGGTTCAATCTTTTTGAGGTAAAGTTTGGATCAATACTACAGGGGAATGATGATGATGATGATGATTACTTTGATTAGCTTTGTTCTTTTTGGTTTAGTTTCTTTTTCACAACAACTTCTTACACAAACTAATATATGTTAATCTCCATGTGTTTAAATAAAAGCTTTACATTGAGAGGGATATTGCAGAAAAATAGTTTATACTTAATAATAATGTTTTCTTTGGTTTCTTGATTCTGTTTTCTGGCTTTCATGGTAGTGGTTCCTTGTGTATGCTCTGGATTCTGGCATGTCTGTGTGTGTTATGCTACTATTTGATCTAGGATCTGGTTGGGAATTTTCTTTTTTCCAACCATAAATTAAATTAGTACTCAATCCATGGTTGGTTGAATAGGGACTTTTCCAAGGACCAAGCTTTTGAGTTTTGAGTCTAAGGCACAATGGGGCCACAGAGAGATGATTATGAAACTCTCTTTGCCTTTTTACCCTCCAAGTGTATGGTTATATAAATTTTAGTTAAAAAATAAAAAGAAGATTGGAAAAGATCGAAGGGTTGGACAATGATTACATGTTATCTCACATCCAAGCTATATACACTCTCTGGATCATTCAAGAAATCGAAGACATCTATATGTTCCAGAGAAGACAAAAGCAACTAGAAACATCCTCTTCGTTTTAGTCATGACTCATCATCACCTTTTTTTTGTTTATATAACAATCTCGAACACACCTATCGAATAAAATATTAAAGACCAAACTTTACTCTCAGAAATTAGTAGCCATTGACGGATAAACTCGAAGAAGAACAAAGACACTGGCTTTGATGATGAAAATGGCATCAACATCATCATCAGCTTTGTCTCTCCCTCTTTCTAACATCCCAACCTGTAATAAGAAGTCCCATAAGTTTCAGAAACCGACTCATTTATCCAAATCATGTCACATACCTTGTCTCAATATCCAAACTTTAGACCATAATAAACTCACCAAGAGAGCTCTACTGTGTTTGACTGCCTTGGGGTGTACGTCTTCTCTAGGAACTTTTCTTGCTCTCCCGGCAAAAGCTGAACCAGAAACTCCCATCGAAGCCACTTCAAATAGAATGTCGTACTCGAGATTCCTGCAGCATCTGGAAGAGAATGAAGTGAAGAAAGTTGACTTGTTCGAGAACGGGACCGTTGCCATCGCAGAGATCTCCAATCCAGCATTAGGAAAGATCCAGAGAGTTAGGGTCAACCTTCCCGGTTTACCGGTCGATCTGGTGAGGGATTTGAAGGAGAAGAACGTCGATTTCGCTGCTCATCCCATGGATGTGAACTGGGGAGCTCTCTTGCTCAATTTCTTGGTGAATTTTGGGTTTCCTTTGATCTTACTTGGCTCTCTGCTTGTAACATCTTCTTTCAGAAAAACACCTGGTGGACCTAATTTGCCTTTTGGTCTTGGAAGGTAAAAAAACATACATAATCAAATTTGAATATAATAAACCCAAGGTTGAGATCTTAAAGTATGTTTTCTTGTAACAGAAGCAAAGCTAAGTTTGAGATGGAACCAAACACAGGGATAACGTTCGAGGACGTAGCAGGAGTAGACGAAGCCAAACAAGACTTTGAAGAGATCGTTGAATTCTTACGAACGCCAGAGAAATTCTCAGCTTTGGGGGCTAAAATCCCGAAAGGCGTCTTGTTGACCGGACCTCCGGGAACTGGAAAGACTCTGCTGGCTAAGGCTATAGCCGGAGAAGCCGGTGTTCCGTTTTTTTCATTGTCAGGCTCGGAGTTCATAGAGATGTTTGTTGGTGTAGGAGCTTCTAGGGTTAGAGACTTGTTCAACAAGGCAAAAGCGAATTCACCTTGTTTAGTGTTCATTGATGAGATTGATGCTGTTGGGAGAATGAGAGGAACCGGCATTGGAGGAGGAAACGACGAACGTGAACAGACGCTAAACCAGATTTTAACAGAAATGGACGGGTTTACGGGAAATACCGGAGTGATTGTGATCGGTGCAAGGAACCGACCGGAGATTCTAGACTCTGCTTTACTCCGACCAGGAAGATTCGATAGACAGGTGAGTTCCATAAACTGAACAGATCGAACCAATTAATGATTTAACTGAACCGGTTTGGTATAATGCAAACGTGGTTTTAAAACAGGTTTCGGTTGGTTTACCGGATGTAAGAGGAAGAGAGGAGATATTAAAAGTTCACAGCAAAAGCAAGAAACTTGACAAGGAAGTGTCTTTGAGCGTGATTGCCATGAGAACTCCAGGTTTCAGTGGAGCTGACCTGGCAAATCTAATGAACGAAGCCGCCATACTCGCCGGAAGAAGAGGAAAAGACAAGATTACCCTGGAAGAGATTGACGACTCGATCGATCGGATTGTGGCCGGAATGGAAGGGACGAAGATGGTCGACAGTAAAAGCAAAGCCATTGTAGCCTACCATGAAGTAGGACACGCTATCTGTGCGTAAGTTCCGGTTCAATTTCATGTTATTCATTTTAATTTCTCCGGTTTAGTCAGAGAAATAACCGGTTTTGATGCCGACTAGGACTTTGACGGATGGTCACGATCCGGTTCAGAAAGTTACGTTGGTTCCTAGAGGTCAAGCACGTGGTCTCACTTGGTTCTTACCGAGAGAAGATCCAACGTTGGTGTCTAAACAGCAACTATTCGCTAGAATCGTCGGAGGATTAGGAGGCAGAGCCGCCGAGGAAGTAATCTTCGGAGAACCGGAGATAACCACGGGAGCCGCCAGCGATCTCCAACAAGTCACTCAGATTGCAAGACAGGTGTAGTCATCAAAATCAAATATGTTAAACCGAAAATAACCGGTGAAATTTTCTAATTCTTCTTTTGGTTCAGATGGTGACGATGTTTGGTATGTCGGAGATTGGTCCATGGGCACTAACCGATCCAGCTGCTAAACAAAACGACGTCATTTTACGTATGCTCGCTAGGAACTCAATGTCAGAGAAACTCGCGGAGCAAATTGATTCGTGCGTAAAGAAAATAATCGAGGACGCTTATGAGGTCGCAAAGAAGCATGTGAAGAGTAACAGAGAAGCCATAGACAAGCTTGTTGATGTTTTGTTGGAGAAGGAAACCTTAACGGGAGACGAGTTTCGAGCAATTCTGTCTGAGTACACTGATCAACCGTTAAATACCGATGTTAGAATTCTAAACAGAGACTTGGTCAGTGTGTAAATACAAATGAGTTAATGAATAAATAAAAACGGTCTAAGTAAATAAATAATATTATTGTTTCAGTATTACAAATTTCTTTCCTAACCAAAAATTCTTTGGGCCTAGACGTCATCTATTCGGATATCAAAATCGGCCAAAAATGTCCTTAACCGCTCGGTAAGTTCCGGTTATCACAACCAAGATACCGGTTAGCGTAATACCGATGAGAACCAGTGTTTCGAACCCGAGTCTCCGGTACTTGCCAGATATCTTTAAGTAACACAAACATGGCAATATAACCGACGCGGATGCGCTCAAGAATGCTCCAACAAGACTCATAAGGTCACCGAAGAACGGAAGAAGCAATGCCACAATCACATTGCTAGCAACCAGCACCGTACTCAATACAAAACCGGACGCTCTTTTGTTAGGCAAAAACCGAGAAAACCGGCTTCTCATTGCGTCGATAATAGGGGTAACCATGAGAGCAAACTTAGCTATTGGGTTCACCAATGTAGTCCATATCGCCACTTTTGAACTAAGCTTATCCGTAGGAAGATTCAATGTTATCTGTGATTCAACATTTGATCCATACATCAAGTATCCCAATACCGCCACCGATGCATATATGAATGTGCATATTGTGAAACATATTACCATAACCTACAAAATGTAATTAAAAAAGAAGAAGAAGACAAAATCATTACTCTGACTTTGGTCTATACAAAAAGTTTTGACAGTAGTGCTTTTAAAATAAACCCTTACGTTTGAGAATTGGCGTTTGTTCTTCATGGAAGTGTATAGAGTTGGGAATACCGGATGAGCACAATAACAAAACGCGTATAGGCTCACAGAAGTAGTGACTCCATTAAGACGAAAGACATCCGAGTCACTGTTCTTGAACCCTACTCCTTCAAAAGCTCCAACCCAAAAGATAGAAGCAAGAATCAACCCGGAAGCAAAGACTCCACTCGCGGATATATAAGAAAGAATCCTCATGTTGTCTAACCAAACAGAGGGAAGAATAATGAGAGCTACAAGGACGATGAACATTTGCTTGCCTTGGAGTTCAAATCCCATGAAGTTGAATCCAACGTTTGAGAAGAGCTTGTTAAGGTTGTCACCTTCTAGAATCAAGAAACTGGTCGCCACTAGGTAAAGCTCGAGGTTCATGAAGATGGAGACGACGACACGTCCTGTATTTCCAAATGCTTTGTAGCCAATGTCCGGGTATGATCGTAGAAGTGGATCCATGTCCATACATCTTTTAATGAGAATGGCACAATAGAAAGTTGTGATTGCTACGGTGAAGAGTATGATCAAACTTAGCCATCCTCCGGATGCTAAAGCATAAGGGACCGATAATATACCCACACCTATAAAGAAAAAAAAGTTCATTAGAAGAATTAATTAATATTTGTTTAAACACACTAATACAAACGTATTTGTTAATTTTGTGTTAATTACATTTAATAAAACACACACGCAAAGGAATAGCATGTGGTCTAGATCGTTATCAAGATATGATTTGATATCAAAGTGATTTGTAGAAGAAGAAGACAACTAGAAAAGGGAAGACGTGTTCTTGATGTGTTAGGTTTGTCAAGAGACACGTTGTATCAAGACACAGAAAGAAAACCGATTTTGGTTTCTATTACAAGGACTAGTTCTTTTGTCCGTATATAAATATGGTTATACGATAATGAAAATGGCTCAATCATATGTTTGGCTAGACGTGTGTAAAACTGAATAGCTAGTTTAACTTTATTTAGTATAAACTAAAAAGTAATACTATATACAGTTTGGTATATAAAACATTAAACACGGTTTTAGTGGCCTCTCTTTAATAGACCCATTAATAATTAATACTACAGAAGTACGTAATGACAATAATACTCCACTAATGCCTTTATCAAAGGAAACCAAATAAACTTTGCCCAGTTGTTTTTGTGTTTTTAAAAATTCTCTAGTAAACGGAATCATACTAACCTTAAAAGACAACAAACAATCATTTACTTGTTTTATTTTTTTGGGGTTTTATCTTTATTATATATTATCAAAATCTATGAAATTGGAAAAATATGAACAGAAGGAAAAAGATAGGATTGAAATCCACACCAATCTATTACAAGATAAAGTCAAAATCTTGAGTTAAAAACATCTAGAAAGAAAGTAAAATATAGCTAAATATAGTTTTTCTCTAGATTATTATTATGGAAAAACATGTAATATGTGTGGATAAGCTAAGAGTTTGTCCGTGACCGTGAGTTAAGGAAGGCTTGGTGATAAGAAGAAGGAAGTACTGAAAAAATGAAGAACAAAAAAGATTGGGAAAAGGAAATGAAACCTGATAAAGCGTTAATGCCATGGAAACAAGTCTTGGAGAAAGAAGTTTTGCCCTGTGAGTTATTATAATCATCAACAATCGTTGCTTCTTCATCATCATCATAATCGATATTCTTAACGATGAATGGCTCCGACATGAAATCTTTCTTCTCTTCGCTCATGACTTTTCTATAGTCTCGACTCTGCTCTTCTGTTGTCGAAGAGGCAAAGAGATAGAGAGGCGGAGAGATCGAGAGCCTAAAGAGATAGATATATTGATAGAGAGAAGAGTTTAAGTTACTAAATAAAGAAAACCTCAAGAAGTCAATATATATAGAGAGAGAATTAGAGATAGTGGTGCTAATATATTACTAGAGCCGAACAATGCGATTTCATCAAATTACTATAGTCGAGGTTCTGTGCAGGATGCACAAGGATATTACACATAATTAGCGTCGCTGTTGGCATTCTATTAAATGATTATTGACCAATTAAATTTTTTTAAATGGGGTTTTTGGAAACGAATCGAAAAATTAATTGTTGAAAAATATTATAACCAGTTACAATAAAGTATACCATTAGAGTAGTCAAACAATATTTGGTTGGATTTGAGAAAATTAAACGAAGTTTACCATTTTTAAACACGAGAGAAGAGCAATTTAACTTAGTTAAATACAAGATAGATTATGCAAACATAGTATCAAATCCTCCTTTTGGTGAAAATTCAAAGTAAAAATAATATGGTGTAAGAGTAGTGTATCATGGATGTCAATAATTTGTCGGACGAGTCTGGAGCACATGAACTGCCACATGTTTTTGTCGTTGTTTTTGTGGAAACTTGTCAACTGAACCCCGAGACGTATAAGTAAACAAGTATATACGAATGGTGATTTGGATTTGATGTAAATCACTATCTTTCTTTGTGATGAGACTCTTCTAGACTATACAGAAGAGTCCTAACAACATATTTCTATGTTTTCACTTTTCACAGAGAGATGTCTTTCATGTTCTATTCGAAACCAAAAACTTTTTACAGCTTACTTTAGAAAAGATGATACCAAATTGAGCTTTCGTTGTCAAGGCCAATGGCAATAACTATATATTTAATATTTGTGTCTCCAAACGTCATATTCCTTGTCAATTAATATGAATATAAACAACTACAAGTCTACAAGGGATTAAGAGTATATTTATAGAAATGTCCGATGAAACATGTAAAACACTTCTTTAAAGTTTGTGGTTCATATCAGTGCACACCGATTGTAAAATATATCATCATGAATTCATGATTGGTCGCAGAGAAGATTGTGGGAAAACACTATATATCGCGTAAAACACGTGATTTCGTCGTAACTCGTAGTAAGCGTTAAAAAAATCAATAATGGGCTTTTACGGACTGGGCCGATAGACCCAACACATCAAGGCTTTCTATATGCAATCCATCTTTTTTTTCTTTCTTTTAACTCAATAAAACTTTAATGAATAGAAATATTATCACAATGAATAACAGAGAGGATACGCCAATAGAAATCTTAGCTGAACTTTATCCTCCACAGAAGTATTTGGATCCAACAAAATATTAAAGTTATTTATTTGTTGGTTTAGTGTTAAGATCATGCAATCCTTTTTGCTTGATAGAATTGTGTTATTTTGTTATGCGGCCTTTTATAGTATTTTCGATTTATATGTATTTCGAACCGCGAAGAATAACTAAATGTATCAGAAACACCAAATATTCAAGGAAAATATCATTCATATATAGGCCACTCTCATTTCTTTTAGAAGGATTTAGAACAAAATCCCAAAAAGGAGTGACATGATAACCATTACAACATCAGAAATAGAATTAGACTGAAACACCAAAACATTTTTATAAAAGAAAAAGAAAAAAAAAACATTAATGAAAGTGAAATTTTAGTTATCGTCCAAGTTTTTTTTTTTAATTATAAAAAGGAACGATACGATAGTGGGAAGCTGGGGAAGAAGAGATGATGAATCAAGGGCATTTAGGACCACCCTGTTGAGTTTTCCAGTTGTTGTAGCAAGAGCAAACTTGTTTGTTGCCATAGTAACCAGGAGGCACACATAGACACTTCCTGCAGCACTTGTTGCAGAACAAAATGCATGCGTTGTGGTACTGTGTCTCTTTACACCTCCTATTGCATTCCGATGGGCACTCTGCTCATTTCACACCAAATCCAGTCAATTTCTTTTTACCCACCCAATAATAAAAACAAACAGAATCTTGTAGTGAAAAGTAACCAAAAACAAAGAAAAAAATGAAGCTAAAAAGCAAGAGACATGTTTATGACTTTTTGACTGCTGTTTTGTGGGACTCAAGAAGGACACAGTGGGTTTTGCTTTGACTCTATAACCTATCATTCAGGGGCAATTTGGTCAATCTACAAAATATTTTGAGAATCTACGGATCTGAGACCAAACACTTCACTTCCAACTTGTTTAAACAGTGTTGTAGAACTGAAAGCTTTACTCTCTTTTTTTCTTCTCTTAAACATAATTAATAACTTGTTTAAATTTTAATTTTTGTTCTGAGAATATCTCTGAAAATAAATAAATAAACACTTACGGGTAATTTTCAAGCTTCCTTGTCTGTAACGTTTCTGCAAAATTAACCAAAAAAATGTAAATAAGTTAAACATTTTTTCTTTTTAGTTAAGAAATAACATTAGGTATAAAATATACAGTTTTTTATAAAAGTGTATTTTTCGGCGGTTTCAACCACAAACAAAAAAAACTTACCGGGTCATACTTTATTGGATAATTATATCCACCGGCCATAACCTAACAAAAAAGAGAGAGAGTAATAATTAATTTTCATAGAAAAAGGTAAAATAAACATATTACAACCAAAAAGTACAATAATAGAACCCACATTATCTCAAATCTTGTTAATAGTAATAAGAAGAGAAATCAAAATATAGTAGCTTCCATATTTTCAAAGCATTGAAGAAGAAGAAGAAAGAAAAAATCTGAGATGTTACCATGGTTTGAAGCAAGGAGAGGACAATGAGGGCCAAGAGGAAGAGAGCTCCGCATGACTTAGCCATTTTTGTCTCTGTTTAGTTATCCAAAGAACCAAACACTCCTCTAGATCGCTCAAACAAGTTTTGGTCTCTTTTCTTGTTTGAGAAAAGAAGTGTGTACTGACTGAGAGAGGAGCTGTTTTGGTTGAGGACCCTGTGATGTTGCATATAAGCTATATATATACACACAATTGCTCGTATCAGTTATTCCATGCGGCAACACATATCGTTATTTCCATACTCCTCCATTCACATTATGCCACGCGTGCGCCCCCTTTTATTATTACTTGCCTATTGCCAATTGGTAAACTATGGTTTGGATGGTTTGCACATGGTTGTTTTAACAAAGCTTTAGTATTAGTACTATACTATAATACTTAGTACTTAAGTACTATGAACTCTTTTTTTTTTTATAAGTTATATTTGTTTCCTTTAAGACCTTTAAAAGAATTTACGAACTTTGTATATAGTTTTACATGTCATCTTTATTACATTCCATCTAGCTATGATTGTTTTGTTGTGGATTTAGATTGGGTGTGGGATTTTGTAAAAGACGAAACGTTTTTTAAACCACAAATACATTATCAGAGTAATAAAACAAAGAAATAAAAAAGAAAGAAGGACGGTGCATTGAAGAAGGAGACGGGGAGTTAGATCTCACCAACGGTCCCAACTGTAAATTGTAATCACAATCTTACTATACTAAGTATAATATTAATATTAATTATTAATACCATTGCTTGTTGACGGATCAATGATTAGTTTAGATAAAGTTTCAGAATATATAGTAAAGATAAATTTAATACTCTAATTCTTCTGTATATATAATATATATATTTTCTTCATAGAAGAAGAAACCAGATCTAGTTGGCCACTAATCAGAGTTTGTCAACCATCAGTCAAATCTATAGATGAACCAATTCATGCTGTTGTGAAATAGTAGGTAGCTAAATGAACAAGTATAGTTTTTAGAGTTATGATCTATAGGCCACATTCATCTCTTAGACCACATTCATCTCTTACAACTTATTTGAGATATAACAAAAGTGGAGGGGAACCCTTAAAAAAACAGGTAAACTCGGTCGCACCACTAGGGGGATATCAAGTTGAGGATTTTGGAAATGAAACAAAGATCACGACTAATGAAAAGGATAAAACAACTTGATGGAAACACATGTATGCAACAAAAAAAAAACTAAAACACGTACATTAATGCGCAATTGCGCATACACATCCCAACTTGTTTGTATACTGTGTGTACAGATATCCCAAAAATCTAGTAAAGTTGTTTTTGAGTAAAAGAAAAAACAAAAACTAAAAAAGGTTTGAAAAAAAGAGGAGAAAGAGAAGGAAAGGCATGTGCAGCTAGCCAGTTCCACATGCTCTCTCATCCAATTATTGTTTTTCTTGAGTCGATCTACTCTCGCAGAAAAAAAAGAGGGAACATTGAGATATTTTTCTGGTTTAATTTAATTAATAATGTTATCTTCTCTAATAAGGTCATTTTTAACCCAAAAATAATACTACTAAATAAGTATACTCAATGACAAATAATAAGTAAATGTGAAAACGTATTCTGCTTTATCAATGGTCGTAAAACAAGAATTAACATTGTTATTGTACAAAAAAATATCAAAAAGATAGAGAACTTGTAAGAAATGACGATGAATAAGCTTAACTACTTCTTTAAGGTGATGAACGTCAGATATAATTAGTTTCGGTTTACTATTAGAGAATTCAACGTAACTAACATTCTATGAAAACAAGTTTGGCTTTATTGTTAAACAAGGCCAAACACACCAAGTAGATGTACAAGACATTTTTAGCTACTGATTCCCTAATACCCTATTTTCAACTATAATTTAATTTACAAACATAAAGAGATGTAAAATAATTGGTGTGACACAAAATTGATTATGAAGGGTTTGGTTTAATATAAGAAACTTTGTAGGGTTGGAGTACGGCACGGACCGTAGGACCCTTTTAAGAGAGAAAACACTGATATATAAAAAAATTCAACAAATTTGTCTATTTACAAGATTTGAAAGCATGTGAGGGATCACATGGATGTATTGATTAGTTACTGTCCAAAAGAAAGATTATAGATCATGTCAAGTTGTCCCAAAAACACATGCATAGAGAGAGATATGGATTAGAAAAAGAGAATACAACAATTTTTGTTATTGATGTTACAAGAAGAGATCAAAGATAGTGATCATCACTCATGGTGTCAACTACTTGTTCACACATTCACTCACTACTAAAGCCTAAGTTTATGCAGAGGACATTTGAGATACTTTTGGCTAAGATTGGTTTCATTTCCAAAACCACAATTTGAACGGAATCATTTCTTCTTTTGTTGTTGTTACAGCTTTTAAATAAATCGAATGATATGTGTGTAAACAAATTAATGAAAGTGTAAAATCGCAAATGACTATAACATGCATATTCATTACAATTTTGATCCAATTTTGATCCAAATTAAAGTGTAGGGGTCATAATGTAAGAAACTAAAAACATCAAGGCCCTCTGAGCTTATTGTTAATACTTGACAAATAGGGCTTTGGAGTTAAGCCCCTTTTCCCTCCTGCGCCGTTTAATCCTTATCCCGCTTCCGTCGCCGTCGCCATCTCCGGTCACGCTTTTCATCGTTCTCTATCATTTCCGGTAGGTATCTTCTTTTTATTCTTACCACATTCGTGGAGAGTTTCGATTTCGTCCTGGGTCGGAGAAATCAACCGATCAGACTCTCATTTTAGGTTTTGATTAGAAATAGTGAACATCTCAGGTTTGATCGTGAATTTTAGAAAGAAAGAAAAAGTGTTATGATCGAAATTTTGATTCAGATTTACAGGTGGTGAAGAAATTTAGAGAAATCGATTCTGAAATGTTAAAGTTTTCTGAGGTTGATCAGTTAGCTGATCAATGGTTGGATTAAATTAGGAGTAGAATAGATTTGTTGAAATGGTATGAATTGTATTGATTCTACTTGAGAAATGCTTTGTGTTTGAGTTGCTCTTTATTGTTGCTCGCAGATTCTGGAAAAATGAATTTCTTTAACTCAGCAGCATCCTTATGCAGAAGAGTTAGTCTGAGGGAGCTGATCACTGAGGTTCCTGCTTATAGTGGCAGTAGCATTTCCGGTATATTACATATCAATCAAGTTCTCTGTATCTTGATCATCTTTGCTGGTTAACCCATTTTATGTTATTGTTCTTCTTCGTCTTGTGATGTTAAAGATGGTTCTTCAAGTGGGTTGAGTTTGGTCTTGAAGCGTTGGGCTACAAAGAAAACCGCTGGTTCTACAAAGAATGGTCGTGACTCTAATCCCAAGTTTCTCGGTGTTAAGAAATTCGGAGGAGAGGTAAGAACTATCAAGCAAAATACTATTTGGTTGAATTTTATTCGTATATGATTGTAGAAACCAATGTGTGTGTGTGACTTTTTGCAGAATGTAATACCGGGAAACATCATAGTTCGTCAACGCGGAACTCGGTTTCATCCTGGAGACTATGTTGGGATCGGGAGGGACCATACTCTGTTTGCATTGAAGGAAGGCCGAGTCAGGTTTGAGAAAAACAAGATAACTGGTCGCAAATGGATTCATGTTGATCCAAAAGGTGGTCATGTCCTTCACCCTATCTACACCAAAGCTGCAGCTGCAAAATCGACTAAGTTGGAGACAGCTTCATCGTCGTGAAAACTCATCGATTCAAACCAAAGGTGTCTTCATATGATCTCTTGACTAAAGAAGATGATGGTATCAGAACAGCAACACTCAGTTTAATACACTCTGCTGTTTTTTTTGTTCTTTGTTTGGATTTTGTTGTTGGGCCTCTTTAAGCCATGCATAAGTTCATAAGAGTCCAAATCATTTTTTGCGAAATGGATGTTTAATTAACCCTGAAGCTTTTTTCTTTTCATATGTTTGTTTATTACAAAACAATGCACACAAAATTATCGTAGTCAACTAATTTTCACAAACTTGATGATAGACAAATTACAATCTTCACTCATTTTTCTTTGTTGTAGTCGAATCCTACTCCTCACTAATTGGTTGTTTTGTGTTGATCATTTATCGGCCCATTATAATAAACCCATCCCGGAATGGGCCAACGTTTTAAGCCTCAGGCTTTGGTCTACGTCGTTTTCAGACTGATAAAGCTCGTAACAAAAACCCTACATAAATTAGTAACATCTGTATATGGTGATTATTACTCAAAATTTTCAACCCAATCAAATTTTGATAATATTTGCATCATTTTTTGTCATTCACGGTTTTTTAAATTATAAATCAATAATATTTAGTTATTTACCTTGAAATTTGTAAATCCTAATTAATAATACATTAATAACTTAAAACAATAATTTTTTTGCAACAAAATTATTTTTAAGGAACGGAGAGAAGTACAAAGCTAATTTGATATTAACAAGACTACTAGATACGTTAAATTTTAAGCAGTGTATCTGATCGGGTTGAAAATTTTGAGTAATAATCATCATATACAGATGAAGCAGCTTAGTTGTTTTGGCATAATTTGAAATCAAGAGCCAACTTGTTTTAGTCATTAAAACAGTTTCCTCAAATTCTTCTCAAGTTGTCGTGCACATTAATAAATGTATTTTTTGAATTATTTTTACACATTCAATTTCCTAAAACAAAAAATAATTTCGTTTGCCACCAAACAAAAAAAAAAAAAAAGAAGAAAGAAGATGTCATTGGTGTCTTCTTCTTCACAAATCTAGAGAAGTACAGTCCAAAAATTAATGCCACTAAACAACCCATACGTTCATTGTATATGATACGCTCTTCCACTCGCATTTGCGCACATAATAATACATGTATACTAATAATAGGGGATGTATATATCAACGCACTAACATAAGTATAATGCTATATAGATTATACTAGTAAAAATACTTACAGATCGATCAGATATATAGTTGCGTCAAAATATAGATACTGAAAGAAAAGAAAAACTAATGGAATATATTATACAGTACTTGTTATGGGCATAAATAAAGCTTATTTAATGTCGGGTTGCCTTGTTCTTCGTCCTAACTAAAAGAGTAAGGAACACTAACTATTTTCTAAGACAATAAATGGGTGCATATCTTATTATCTTATTTCGTTGTCTATGAAATCTATAGATTCCGTAGTGAGGTAATAGTTAAGACTAATATAATCGAAGTTATATCCAAATGCATGAAATGTTTGATACGGTGGTTCCCTATTTTTGTACAGTTCAATGTATATGAGAATTGTCTCTACGATAGTAAACGAACATGGTTCGATTAGGCAGCGCCATGTTGAAAGATATGGGACGCGTGTTAGCTGTCTAGTGTATGTGATAAGACAACTTCATACTAGTCAAAGTAAATGAAAGGGTTTAGGAGTTGTTAATCATACATATTAATATACGATTTCGCTACTATACATTCTTTATTGGTTTTTGTATGTCCTGTGAATGATTAGTTCTCTTATTAGTAATCCTCAAAATAATCTTAATTAGTTTCTTTTAATCTTGTAGGTTTCTCTTATGAAAGACTTTTATGTTAAGAAGTACATAAGAAGTTTTTGGGGGGTAAACAGCATCCTTTCTTTACCACCACTGCTCGTGTCAGCTTTTTTGTATGGTTGTCCACTTTTATTAAGGCCACTTTAACCGTCGTCAACATGAATAATCAATTAAAACATTTTTGAGTTACTCGAGAAGTACATCAAAATTAGGTAGATAAGTACATAAATTAGGTAGATAAGTTTTTGTTAACATCTGCTATCAGGGTCACCTTTAAGACTGTAATTTGCTTGTTGGATAGTTTATTTCTACAAAGATTGAAATGAATTGGTGTGTAGCTTATAAGGGAAGGTCGAGATTTTTAAACATTTTGGATAAACACTAAAGTTTTGTCATGACAACCAAAATTTATGCTTAATTATCACACCACCCAAAACAAACCATAAAACGAGTTTTGCTTAAATGATGAACAATGATGATAATTGCAAGGTGCAAAGAAAAAAAAGAGATTAATAATACTACTATTGGTATAAAATTCTGAGTATATAATTAATAAGTTGTCAACGTCATGGAGATACAAATTTAGCAAAAAGAAAAAGACATGACTCACATTAGATGCTGTTCTATGAACTCTATTTATTAGCCTATATTTATTACACTTATCTTTTTTTTTTATTAACCCTAGGATGAGGTCAACAAACAAACCATGGTTAAAAAATAAAAAAGAAAACCCCATAATGATTATGAATCTCAACCACACAACTTGGATTTCTCATTATCAACAGTCCTCATCTCTTTCTTCCTCCATGACCATGAGGGTTGAGTAGTAGTAGTAGTAATACATACATACATAGTTTTAAACTCCTCCTTTCCTAATCCTATACCTTTCCAAATACATAAACCCATGTCCCAAAATTTCCCAAAAGTTTCAACCTCGCAATTAAAATAACATTTCTGTTTAGTGCAATCTTTTTCCTTATCTTCTCTTCTTCTTCTCCCATCTCTACAACATCATAATACTTTCTTGTATACCCAATAACCAAACCCCATCGCTAATTCTCAAGGTTACAAATATATTTTTGTTTTAAAAAACTTAAATGTTTTGAGTCGTCCGTCATGGATGTGATAGCTACTACAACAACTATTGTATCCGACTTGGATTCAAGACAACCCGAAATCGAAGCTCCGACCCGGATCCATCCAGCGAAGCCTATTTCTTTCTCCAACGGCAAACGCTGCCACCACAATCATCTTGCGTCTGAAGCGGCTGCGGTTGTTACTTACAAAGAATGTCTAAAGAACCACGCCGCGGGAATCGGCGGCCACGCTTTAGACGGATGCGGCGAGTTTATGCCGTCCCCGGCTTTTAACTCTAACGACCCGACTACACTAACGTGCGCCGCTTGTGGTTGCCACCGTAACTTCCACCGCCGAGAAGACGATCCGTCTCTCGCTTCTGCCATCGTCCCGGCGATCGAGTTTCGTCCTCAAAACCGTCACCAGCTTCCTCCTCCTCATCCGGTGGGGATTCGTAGTCCTGACGACGATGACTCAGCTTCTCCGCCGCCGATCTCGTCCTCTTACATGCTTCTTGCACTCTCCGGGGGAGGAGGAGGAGGAGGTAACACGGCGGGTCCAATGTCTAGGAAACGTTTTAGAACAAAGTTTAGTCAGTATCAGAAGGAGAAGATGTTCGAGTTCGCGGAGAGAGTTGGGTGGAGGATGCCTAAAGCTGACGACGTGGCTGTTAAGGACTTTTGTCGGGAGATTGGAGTTGATAAAAGCGTTTTCAAAGTGTGGATGCATAACAACAAGATTTCAGGACGAGGCGGAGCTAAAAGAGCTAACGGCGGAGGTGGTGGAGGAGATAGTCGTGAGAGTGTTGTTCCGACGAACGGGTCGTTTTCTTCGACGTGAGGAAGAGAATAGAAAACGTTGGAGAAAAGCGTCGTCGTTTTAGTTGCTAATTCTTTCTTTTTTGGTTTCATGATTTTTTTTTTAATATATATTTTAAGTCAACGGGTCAATTCTGTTTTCTTCTATTCCGCTTTGATAACGTGTTATGTTTTGTAACTTTTTATTATCATTAGTAGTTCCATCTTTTGTTAGAGAAGTGTGATTTGAGGTGTAGCTTCCGACCAAATGCGAGAAAGAATAAAATTAGTAACCTCCTAGAAATTTAATAACAAAGTTAATTATTTTAATTTATATATATGGTTATTTCGTGTTTATTCTATGAAAAGTGTAAAGGAAATGAGGAGAATTTGTTGAATTTATGTGATACGATTACTCAACACATTCAAATTTTATTCTAAATGCTAGTAGTCAACTAATACATTTGTCCAATATGATTAGGACTGGGTAAAGATTAGGCATTACGTTAGGTTAATATGATTAGAGACACCACTCACTTTAAAATATTTTTGCTGTTTTATTAAGGCAAGACTGGTAAAACATCTAAAAAATCCTTGCAATAATTAGTTTTTATGGTATAAGATCTAAAGGTCAAAAAGATATGTACAATTACATTTAGGTACGACTACTCGAATTAACACTGAAATATTTTATTAAGCAAAAGAAACTAAATCGTTATACAAAGCAGATGAAATAAATATATATATATGGAAAGAATCGTTTGGTTAAAAAAAGATAATAAAAAAATGGAACGAATCGTAAATTTGGTGACAGAAAAAGAAAAAAATAACGAATAAAATATCAGAGCTCAAGCCCAAACATATTAATAATTAAAACGGGCCAATATATTAAGCCTCAGTTTTGAAAGGCCCAATAACGAAAGTGAGAGTGTAGCGTTAGGGTTTTAAGAATTCCTATAAAACGGCTGTGTCGTCTCCTTCATTGCTCTCTGCGTGCCCTAGTATTTCAGATCGCCGATTTTGCAGTAAGGAGACGAAGATATGGTGCACGTTTGCTACTACCGCAACTGTAAGCCTATCTGCTCCTTTCTCTCCTAGATTACTTTTCTCATTTCCGATTCGGTCTTCGCTGTGATTTCTAATCGAACTGATCTGTTAGGCTTAGGGATTATCTGAGGTTTTTGATTCTATCCTCTGTATAGTGTTGTATAGATTATGAATCTGGGATTTTATACTGTAGTCATTTTGTGAGAGATTCGATCATTTGTATGTATCAATCTCATTTGGGATGTTACCTTGTTGCTGATAATTTTGTGTGATTGTGTGTATTTTGTTGAATAGATGGAAAAACCTTCAAGGGACCTCGTCGTCCTTACGAGAAGGAGCGTCTTGACTCTGAATTGAAGCTGGTTGGTGAGTACGGTCTCCGTAACAAGCGTGAGCTCTGGAGGGTGCAGTACGCTCTTAGCCGTATCCGTAATGCTGCTAGGGATCTTCTTACCCTCGATGAGAAGAACCCAAAGAGGATCTTCGAAGGTGAGGCTCTCCTACGAAGGATGAACCGTTATGGGCTTCTTGATGAGAGCCAGAACAAGCTCGATTACGTCTTGGCCTTGACTGTTGAGAACTTTCTTGAGCGTCGTCTTCAGACTATCGTGTTCAAGTCTGGTATGGCTAAGTCTATCCATCACTCCCGTGTCCTCATCAGGCAGAGGCATATCAGGTATAGTCTTTTGTTCGTTTGATTTGCTCTTCCTGAAGTTAATTGGTATTTGTTGTATTAGTCAGATTGATCTGAATTGAGACTAACATTTTTTTAATTGCCATATCATGGTGACTTGTTTTCTAAACTAGTTTAACATCAGTGTCTTATACTTCTGAACCATTTTGCTCCATTTCTGATGCAAAACCTTAAATTGAACCTGCTTTAGATAGTCTTGATTGGTGCATAAAGTTGTACACGATGAATGATCTTCTCGCATTTGGCTATTCACTGTGTTTATTATAAGTTTTGCTGTTTATGTTTTAATTTGTCTTAGGTTGTATAGAATGAGTACTCATCCTGGTTTTCTCTGTTTACTGTTGTTCTAGGGTTGGAAAGCAGTTGGTGAACATTCCATCATTCATGGTGAGACTTGATTCACAGAAGCACATCGACTTTGCTTTGACCAGTCCCTTCGGTGGTGGCCGTCCAGGAAGAGTGAAGAGAAGGAACGAGAAGTCTGCCTCCAAGAAAGCATCAGGTGGTGACGCAGACGGTGATGACGAAGAGTAAATCTAAATCGCTGCCGTTTTAGCTATGAAGCAATCTGCTTTTGATATTTTGTAGTATGCGACTTTTGTTGTTCGTTTTTCAGAGGATTGTTTTATGGTTTTCTTTTTATTTTACCCGTGAGATTGCTAAAACCTTATGGTTATCCATATTTCTCATAATTTATCTTTACAAAGTTTTGTCTCTTTACGTATATTTACTTCTTTACCAAATAATGAAAACTGGTGAGATTTCGTTTAGCCAAAAAATTTAACAGTTCATCGTAATTTCCATGTGCTCAAATATTTTAAACACCAATATTTTAGGCAAAGACTCGATGAATTAGGCCATTTTTAGTTGAGTTATTGATTTGTTTAGCCATATTCGAGGCCCAGGCTTATATTTTGGTCCATGAGCATTGTATAGTGAGGCTTTACCTTATTTTTTGAGTTATTAAAATCGAATTTTTACTTTGCTCTTTAAATTATAGTTAGTGTCTGAGTGATGTCGCCGTCTGTGACTGTATAAACTAAACACACTAGAAGATGTTTTCCCAACACTCGGTAGTCGGTATCATACTAACACACGTGTTACATGCGAACCACGTGGAGACCATCATACCATAGTGAAACAATTTTATACAGCATAAAAGATTCAAGCAACGGTCGGCTCTTCCGACACGTAAATGAAGAAAATACAAAAAAAAAATACTAGTATCAGTATTCATTAATCCCTCGAGGAGAGACATAAAGACAAGCAAAATCAATCGCATTTTCACACGTATTATACTTTGAAACCGACTTTTACATTAAAACGATTAGTTTTTTTTGGATCGACAGCTTGATTTTGAAAATCTGCCGATGGCGATGTGAATCCTTTAATTTCAACATTTTATATTTACCAATCATTCGACCATCGTAGTTCCATCATTATAAGAATTCTATAGCTGCATTTAGTTACACCTCCAGGAATTCTCTCTTTCGAAAGTTTAGTATAAATATGTTTGAGTGGTCGTTAAGTCGGTATAAAACCCTTTCATATCCTTAAAAGTGGATTTCAAATTTTCTCTGTTTTGACTCTCCATCTACGCAAAGAACAAAAGTATTTTCAGATTTTTTGCTACAATTAATTAAAAGTTAGACTTAGTATATTAGTACATAGATCTACTAACCACTTTTATTTTAAGAAAAATCAATGAAATAATATACTAATACACACTACAACAAAAATATCTGATATGAAATGAATAAAATATCCAAGAAATGAGAAATGAAATCTCTATATATACATATATGTTCAAAACAGGGAACATGGAGCTTGATAATATATTATTTCATATAAACAAAATCTAAGTCAGATTTTTATTGGGGAAGACGTGGCAATAATGATTTGGAAGTTTACTGAAACTAGTTTTACATAAAAGAAGAAAGCCGAACAAAACGGCGCCGGATTTGGTCGTTTTCCAGATCCGATATCCTCTTCTTCCACACGGCTCCTCAGCTCATCTCACCGGTCAAACAACACATAAAGATAGAACCGTTCGACGTGGCAAAATCTCCATGGCTATTAATCTTCCTAGTGACGTCATCAAAACCGACACGTGAAACCGTAACCGTTTTTTTATTTTAATTTTTTTAAACAACAAAACCTCTCTCTGTTCTGTGCCACTCACTCACTGTGAGTAATATATATAAGAAAAACAAACATAAGCTCCGTTTCACATGTCTTGCACACTTCATCATAACTTTTTTTGAAATTTCGAAATTCGAATTGATCTTCTTGTTCTCTCTTTATATATATAAATAAAAGGATGATGACGATGAGAGGAGGAGAGTCGTGGCCTGAGATGGAAGACGCGATGATAGCTAGGAAGATGGTTGAGGAGGTGGAAACAGAGAGCAGTGGTTCATCAGAAGCTGAGACTGAGTCTCCTAGATCCGTCGGACGTTGGATCACGGCTAAAGAAAGAGTAATTCACAACCAGGTTCTGAAGATCATCAAGGAAGAGGATCTCTGCGTTCTCGTGGAAGACAAAGCAGCGGAGCGACGAGACCTACGACCAAGCCGTCTTAATCTGTTACTGATCACGCGGCAGAACCTGCCTTGTTCTCCTCTTAGTGGGAAAGTGGCATCTACAGTTAACGCTGTTCAGTGATTTGATTCCTGGTTCTTCTAATCGGATCAAAAGGTAAATTAATTATATATGTCACATAAAGTTATGTGTATCGCAAAACTTAGTCTTTGGTTTTGATCATTTTTGTTTGTGCTGCAGGTGATTTGTATCCTCTGCGTTTTCCTTTCTACTTCTCTGTTTTTTTTTTTTTTTTTTTTAATTTTCCTTGAACTTTTTTGTTTCTTAAAGATACTATAAGAGTCTTTTTTTTTTTCCTTTTTTTTTTTCTTTTTATCAGGTCACAACTTGTCATGTGTATATAAACCGTGAATGTATATATTATCAGATCCTTGAAACTTTATGCTCCATTATCTTTTTACTGCATATGAATTATGATACATTTACATACGTACTCAAAAAAAAAAATGTATACGTAGACAATTTCTCGACCGACTATTAGAGGTTAAGAACAACAAAAGTTCCAAAATCAATGTGCCACCTACTAAATAAATGTTAGATTCAAAATAAAATATTTAAAACATTGACGATAAGTTCGACTCATTTAAAGTTGAAATCTTAATTTATTCTATAAGCTCCAAATTAAGATGGCAGATAAACGAAACTCTAAATATATATATATACTGTATATAAAATCAATTAGAAAGAAAAACTTGACATAATCTGATTTTACAGTTTAAACACTTAATTGTTACAATACACATGATTACACACAGTATACTTTTTTGATAGGTACACACTTTATTCTTTAGGAAACAAACGTAACACAACACAATCTCACAGACATATACCTAACACTTAATTAATTAACCATTCTGCATTTTTTGCGAACTTGCCCAACCTTTCCCGTTAAAACCCCAATCCGACCCATCTTTACCATAGAGACACCAAAGTCTTTAAAGAAAGTAGAGCCATCACTATTCATTTGCTTGAGAAGATAAGACTTGGTCTCTTGATTGTCTAAAAGAGCTGCATCTGATTGAAACAACCCTCTTCTTTGAGACACACGCTTAAAGTAGCTCACATCGAACGTTTTAAAGCTTCCTGGATCCATCTCTAATGCCATCGTGTTGTCAGTTGGCTTGCATTTATTTCTGAGTTTGGCTGCGTATTTCGTGTCTAAGTTTGGGTCACTATCTCCTTTCCCGGTGAAGTTGTAGAGCCGGTTTCTGATTTGAGGACAATGTCCTTTCCCTAGTGTGTGTCCACCTATTATAATGTAAGTATATACAAATAAGTTGATTTGAGAATGGTTATACTTTTATTTATTTTATAACTGGATATCCCAAGCCAAAACTAAGATTAATCTACAAATTATGTAGTAGACCAGAGTATTCTTGCTAGTTGCTATTTTAAAAGTCTAAAATAGCAAAAAAAAACAAAAACAAATGCTTGGAAAAAGGAGAAAAATGAGAATAAAAGAATAAATTCTTCTCATATAAAAGCTAGTGAAATATCAAGAAAGTGAATATGATACAAACTATGGTCTTTTTCAATCTCAAAAAATTTGACTGAAGACTGCCTTTCTAATTTTTTTCAAGTCAATTCTATCAAATGTCGGACAAAACCAATTTATAAATTTTGTTCTTTGTTAATGAGTTTTTATCTGGTTTCTTGTTTGTTCCAAAAAACACTGTACTTTTTTTATTTTATTTTGATGCATGGTTCAGGTATGATTTGTGAATTTAATTTCTAATTCTATAACAAACCTGAAAGCACAACGAGGTCTTTCTTGTCCAGGCCTTTGGAATGGAATCGAGTGATAAGGCTACTGATATTACTAAGTGGTGATGGTAGGTTTGATAGGGCCTCATACATGTTTGTAACCAGACCGTCTCTTCTTCCTGTTTCAACCTCCCACGACGGTCCATTGAGCTGAATATATATTGATTGGTATATCATAAAAGTATACAATCTTTAAAATCTAACAAATTACATATACAACAGATTTATGGATTATATGCGTCCAACATAATTTATGGAGTCTATAATCGCCATGTGAAATTTTTACTAAGCGCAAAAAAAAAAAAGGAAGGGTGTAATAAAGATACCGTGAGCTCGACCAAATATTAGATCCACTATAAACTGATAGTAAAACTCTATACTTACCGCAACCATTGCATCCCTAGCGACAATAGCCAACACATCAGAGCAAGAAACAATGCCCGGACACTCCTTTTCTAGAGCTGCCTTGGCATTGTCTATGATCTCAAACCCTCGAAGGCTGAGGTTGGGCATTGCGTTTTTCTCATCTTTTTTGTTCTTTAGCTCTAGCAAGACTGACCCTTCGCATCCCTAAATTACCATGCATGATTCAGTCATTAGATCGATAAAGTTCCCCAAAAAGACGAAATGGATATTGAGGATATTACCCGAACGAAGCAATCATGGAAAAACAATCTTAGCAAAGGAGCTCCAAGTGTCGGGTCCTTCTTCATTGCCTCGAAGACAAACTTCTTGACAATGAGCTCAGCTTTCGGGCATGCCTTGTCGTAGAACCCAACTTTCAATCCTTGCACATTGGTTGGAGCAAATGAAGAGAGCAAGCACGATAGTACTTGAAGGAGGATGACACAAGAGATAGTCATCCTCAAAGCAGCCATATTGTTATCAGCTTCTCTTTTGATCGAGGCTTGATGCTACTAGTACTAATTGACATAAAGATTGGTGTCGTTATTTATATATACTAGTGGTTACTTAAGTAATAATTAATTTCACGGAAGTTAAAAGTAGTTTAAGTTATAATACAATTGGTCGTGCCTTACAGCATTGTAGGTTAAAGAGCAAGATGTGGATTGTTTTGTTCATTTATTGAATTATATATAGCTAGTGAATATTAGTCAAGAATGAAGAGACTTGTGGGTGCTGATGATAAAACTTGAGTGATGCTTATTAAGTCGTCACTGGGATATGATAAAACTTGAGTGATGCTCATTAACTATAGTGTTTATTTACCCACAATTCGCTTGGCTTTTGTATCACGGAGAATAAAACAAGGTCTAATCTAAGGTAGTCGTATTCGAAAGTTTTCTTTTGTTTTTTTCCTAAAGTCTCCGGTTTCAAAGTCTTCCTCTTTTGTAACAATTAATCTGCAGTTTTTTTTTAAGGATTTCAATACCTCACATTGTGTAAGTTTTTTTATTATGAGTAGAATGATAATGATGTTTAGGGATATATTATTCAATCATGTAATAAATTTAAATTTATAAATCCGAACTATTCAATCATTTTTATAAATTATGCAGTAAAATCTAATGTTACCACTGAAAGCCAATTCCGTAGCTAAAGAGATTGCATGTAGTGTCACAACTCACAAAAGACGGATGACTCACTTTTTATCTTGTTCTCGGAAGTCCGCCATAGTTGCAGGATCGTACTACTGAAAAGGATTGTAGAGGTTTAGGGTGAGGCCCTGTTTTATTTTAATGCTCTGTTATTTTTTATTGTTTCTTTTTGTTTTTATTATTGATTACATTTTTATTTTAATAACAGACTACTAAAAAAAAAAAAAAATCTAGTGTTAGTAGATATTCTGTTATAATTATGGTTAAAATTTTGGTGTTATTCGATTAAAATTTAAAATTACCCAAAATTAATATTATTATTTAAAAATTTGCCTCACTTATTCCTAACAGAAAAAAATATATTGATGCTTACCGGAAAGTTGTAAATATAGTTTTTGTCTATTTGACCAAAATAGATTTTTGTGATATTCTTCAATTATTTTATTAGTTCCGATACAGTTAAATTAAAATAAAGCTACATGAATTTTTTTTTTTTTTAAATGGCAAATTACAAAGGAAAAGTTAATTCCAAAGATGGTAGAAAAACAAAACGCAACAAATAAAGACTCTTCCATAAATAGTGGCAGACTTTTCAGCAATATTGCTTAGGAAAAAACCACAAATAAGAATAACACAATCTCATAACTTAGTTAACGTACCATTCTGCACTTCTTGCGAACCTCCCCGGCCCGACCTGTTAAAACTTCAATCCGACCCATCTTCACTATATATAGAGACACCAACGTCCTTAACGAAACTAGAACCGTGGCTACGTTTAATTTGCTTGAGAACGTAAGACTTGGTTTCGTGGTTGTTTAAAAGAAGCTGCATCTTGATCGAAACAACCCTCTTCTCTGAGACACCCGCTTGAAGTAGCTTACATTTTCTTCTTAGCCTGGCTGCATATTCCGAGTCTAAGTTATAACAATGATATGGTAGGGGAACAACAACATAATACAGCTTAATTACATTAATGATAAGATCTTCAAATGCAAAATTATTTACAAGTTACAACTTTATTTTCTAGTTAGCTGCCAATGATATAATGCAACAATTTTTACTACAAAGCTGAAAAACCAACATTGGATATATGATGATATATAGCCTATTAAAAAACAAATTATATATTTTATATAAATTAAAGGAAAATCAAATAATATTCTTTTGGATGATGATGAACGTGGATATTCTTTTCACTAGCTATTTTACTAATCGTTCACTGTATATATTTGAATACCATGCAAAAGTTCAGTAAATCTTAGAATAATATCAGTACAAAGATGTAATCAATTTGAAAGAAAAACTTGGCATAGTCGGATTTTACAATTTAACCTTCCATTATATTGTACAAATGTACAATACACATGATTATATTACACACATTATTCCTTAGGAAAAAAAACACACACACACACAAACGTAATATGATAGTCATAACACAATCTCACATGCATATTACTATACTTAATTAGTTAACCATTCTGCATTTCTTGCGAACTTGTCCAACTTCACCTGTTAAGACCCCAATCCGACCCATCTTTACCATAGAAACACCAAAGTCTTCAAAGAAAGTAGAGTACCCGTCACTATTCATTTGCTTGAGAAGATAAGACTTAGTTTCTTGATTGTCTAAAAGAGCTGCATCAGATTGAAACAACCCTCTTCTTTGAGACACAAGCTTGAAGTAGCTCCCGTCAAACGTTTTAAAGCTTCCTGGATCCATTTCTAAAGCCGTCGTGGTATCAGTTGGCTTGCATTTTTTTCTAAGGGCGGCTGCGTATTTCGTGTCTAAGTTTGGATCACTATCTCCTTTCCCGGTGAAATTGTAGAGCCGGTTTGTGATTTGAGGGCAGTGTCCGTTACCTATTGTGTGTCCACCTATCAAAATGTAAATAAAATATATAAAAATAAGTTGAGAATGAATTTATTTTTATTATATTATAAGTGGATATCCCAAGCCAAACCTAAGATTATATCATAGAAGACCAGAGTATTCTTGCTAGTTGCTATTTTAAAAGTCTAAAATAACAAACAATGCTTGGGAAAAAGGAGGAAACTGAGAATGAAATATAAAAGCTTGTGAAATATCGAAAAAGTGAATGAGTTGTTCTTTCTACGTTTCAAAATCTGAATAAGGTATATATGGGATTTTTTAATCTAAAAAAAATTGATTGGAGACTGCTTTTCTAACTTTCAGGTCAAGCATAACTAATGAGTTTTCTGATTCTATAACACATATACCTGAAAGCACAACGAGGTCTTTCTTGTCCAGGCCTTTGGATTGGAATTGAGTGATAAGGCTACTGATATTAGCAAATGGTGATGGTAGGTTTAATAGGGCCTCACTGATGTTTGTAACTATACCGTCTCTTCTTCCTGTTTCAACCTCCCATGACGGTCCATTGAGCTGAATATATATTAATTGGTATATCACAAGTCTTAAAAATCCAACATATCACATATAACAGATTCTATGGATTTTCTTTATGACCATTCAGAAAATCTCAAACGTAAACCTGAACTAGTAGTCTCTCGGAGTTTACGTCAAGTGCATTTTGTAGCATTAAAAGAAAAAAAAAAAAAGAGTGCGTCCAACCTAATTTATGGAGTTTATAATCACCATGTAAAGGAGGGTGTGTACTAAAGATACCGTGAGTTCGACCAAATATTAGATCAGTAACGCTTGATACTAAAAAGCTTTATACTTACCGCAACCATTGCATCCCTAGCGACAATAGCCAACACATCAGAGCAAGAAACAATGCCCGGACACTCCTTTTCTAGAGCTGCCTTTGCATTGTCTATGATCTCAAACCCTCTAAGGGTGAGGTTAGGGATTGAGTTTTTCTCATCTTGTTTGTTCTTTAGCTCTAGCAAGACTGACCCTTCACATCCCTAATACATCATGATTCAATAATTAGATCGATTAAGTGCCCCAAAAAGACGAAATGGATATTGAGGACATTACCCGAACGAAGCAATCATGGAAAAACATTCTTAGCAAAGGAGCTCCAAGTGTCGGGTCCTTCTTCATTGCCTCGAAGACAACCTTCTTGACAATAAGCTCAGCTTTTGGGCATGCCTTGTCGTAGAACCCAACTTTCAATCCTTGCACATTGGTTGGAGCAAATGAAGAGAGCAAGCACGATAGTAATTGAAGGAACATGACACAAGAGATAGTCATCCTCAAAGCCGCCATATTGTTATTAGCTTCTCTTTTGGTCGATGCTTGATGCTACTAGTACTAATTGACATAAAGATTGGTGTGATGTTATTTATACTAGCCTACTTAAGTCACAATTAATATCACGGAAGTTAAAAGTACTGTATAGTTTAAGTTTAAATACAAGTGGTCGTGGTTACAGCATTGAGTTTTAAAGAGCAAGGTGTGGAATGTTTTTGTAAATTTCTTGAATTAATTATATAGAATTGTTTGTGGAATATTAATTATAATTTTTGTGTGAGTTAACGGCTTTCTTGATGTATATTATTACAAATCTCACCAGAAAATGGCTGCCAAATAATTTTAAAAAGGAAAAATAATAACTAACAGAAACTTAAAAGTTCTTTGAATTTGGTAATCTTCTGATCTTTAAGTCAACTAGGTGTTTAAATGGATTGAATAAAAACACTTAACAACGATCGACGAATAATGATAATTTGTCGATAACTATTCTGAAATTGACAAGTAAACTGCAAGAAAAACTATAATATACGTCAAGTATACAATTAAAATGTAAACATAAGCCGTCCATATCTAATCTATTAAACACGTAGACAATGGCTGGTAGGTAGGAGAATTAACAATGAGCGATATAGCTTGTAAGATGATAGTGGACTTCTAAACTGACAAAGTGACAATGATACGGTAGCTAGGACTCGGAGAGGGCAAAAATATATAATACATATGTCTTTAACATAATTAATTAATATCCTTTTGACAGTATCTTACAAAACGTTTTGGAGTTACACAACATAGTTTAATAAGATTTGGACTTGATCAACATCACATCAATTATTTTGTCCCCGTAACAATTTGCAACATGTTCATCCAAATCCAGTCACACTCTATTTGATTGTAACATTTCAACGTAATTGCGAGATATATAGTTGTTCTTTTGATCCCATATTTTTTATACTTTTTCGAATATAATGTGCGTCTGAGGGGAAGGTGGATTCAGGACCGTGCTTACTGCTTACTACTCAATTAAACAAGCTTAACTCGCTTACGACATTATGGTGGTTACTAATGTGTATATTGATATTTGAAGTAATGACGCAGATGTATACAAGTTTGTAAAAGGAAATTAGTATAACGTGGAATATATAGATAAATACAAGGTCTATCTAGTTATTGATTGAGTATAATGGCTTTTTTAATAACTCTGATAAAGTAACAATGTACACACTATTAGTCAATGCAAAAAAAATATGGAAAATAAAAATAAATGTCTGAGCCCGGGTTCGAACCGGGGACCTCTAGTGTGTGAGACTAGCGTGATAACCGACTACACCACCCAGACTATGATGACTACAAGCCTTGAATAAGCGTATAATTAGACAAGACAAAGAGCCACCGTGATGATGATGCGGTGGTGATTGTCGCCGCCGGCGTGAGAACCGTTACCGTTACAATGAGTTTGTTGATTAAATTCTTACTTACTTCCCCATTGAAACACCCAAAAATTTTCGCCAACTTCTTACTTGATCCCATCCAGTGTTTTGGGTTCACTAAAACGCTGCGTTTTGCTTCCTCTTCTTCTTCTTCTTCCTCAGCTCACTTCAAGCTCAGACACTTGTCTTCCTTAATGGCTCACTCTCAGGTAATTCAACACAAAACCCTAATTTTCGTTTTTTCCAATGACTGCAATTTCGATGCATTACTCTGATTTGTCGTTGTATCTGTTATTATAGGTTGCGTATTTGATCCCACTGAAAGCAGATTTGAAGGAAGACGAGTCATCTCCGAGGATAACTTTATCTGAAGGTCCAAACATCATTGGCCGTGGCAACGTTTCAATCGCTGATAAACGTCTCAGCCGCAAACACATCACCATCATCGTTTCTACGTCTGGCTCAGTGTCCTTGTCTGTGGTAAATCTATAAACAATCAAACCAAAAAAAAATCAAACTTTTCATCGCCAGGTCACATTAATCATATCAAGTTTGTGTCTTTTGGGTAGGAAGGAACGAATCCAGTGGTTATTAGGTCTTCCGGCGACGGCGAGAGGAAGAAATTAAAACCCTGTGAAAAGGTTTTAGTAAGTAATGATGATCTTATTGAATTGATCCCTGGTCATCATTTCTTTAAGCTAGTTTTGCTATCCACTGAAAGCAGAGGGAGCCATGAAACACCTGCTAAGAAAGCTCGAAAGGTTACTTACTTACTTGGCCTAACTTAAGAATGCAGGTTTTTTCTTATTGTTTCTTGAGGCTTTGTTTGATTTGATGAAACTCTTTTAGGGTGAAGCACAAGGAGTCAATGATGATGATGTAGAGGCGATTCGTCGATTTGTTCCACCTGATGAGAAACTGCCTTCAACGTTTAGGCTTTTGAGTGTTAATGGATTGCCTGATTGGGCTAATACCTCTTGTGTTTCCATTAATGATGTCATTGAGGTTAGTCTTATGAAAAACATGTTAGTTAATTGTTTTATTCAGACATCTTTGACTAAAGATTTGTTTGTATTATGACAGGGAGACGTTGTTGCTGCAATCCTATCGAATTATATGGTCGATATAGACTGGTTGATGTCAGGTGAATTTTCTCGGATTTTGTTTGTTGAGTTTATCGAAACGATAAGTACATTTCTGGTACATTTCTGGGGTAACTAAGCTAGTGTTGTTCTGTTTTTGGTTGTCTCGAGTCTGTTCAGATAACTTAACTTGGTTCACTGTATATATCCTTTTGTAGCTTGCCCGAAACTGGCCAACATTCCTCAGGTTATGGTCATCCATGGAGAAGGTGATGGTAGGCAAGAGTATATACAGGTTTGTTATGACGGTTTGCTGATTTCTTTTGATTGATGTTAATGGTAGACAGAAATCTCCAATCTCTGTTTTGTTTATCAGAGGAAAAAGCCAGCTAATTGGAGTCTTCATAAGCCCCGGTTACCTATTTCATTTGGGACACACCATTCGAAAGCTATATTTCTTGTCTATCCAAGAGGTGTGAGAGTTGTTGTACACACTGCAAATCTGATCCATGTTGATTGGAACAACAAAAGCCAAGGTTTGTGGATGCAAGATTTCCCTTGGAAAGATGATGACAAAGATTCACCTAAAGGTTGTGGATTCGAAGGTGATCTTATCGATTACCTCAATGTTCTTAAGTGGCCTGAGTTTACTGCAAGCTTACCTGGTCGTGGTAATATGAAGATCAATGCAGCCTTCTTCAAAAAGTTTGATTATTCCAACGCTACGGTACCTTCTGTTTCTCTTAAATATTTTGGCTGATTTGTATACTTATTGTTTACTAAGATATCTAAAAAAAAATTCCAGGTTCGTCTAATTGCATCGGTCCCTGGATACCACACTGGTTTGAACTTGAATAAATGGGGACACATGAAGCTACGAACTATCCTTCAAGAATACATTTTTGATAGAGAGTTCCGCAGATCCCCTTTAGTTTATCAGGTAGTGTTCCATTCCAAGTTGTTTTTTGCTATTGTATTGCTTGCCAAAAGTCTTCTTTATCAATCTTTTCGTATTGTAGTTTTCTTCACTTGGTTCTTTGGACGAGAAGTGGTTGGCTGAATTTAGAGATTCTTTGTCTTCTGGTCTTACAGAGGACAAAACTCCTCTTGGTCCAGGGGATCCGTTGATAATATGGCCTACTGTAGAAGATGTCAGGTGTTCTCTAGAGGTAATTTGAATAAAGATTTCATATTTCTTTGTATATCTTATCGTTTTGTCTTATAAGACGTGAAATCTTCAAACAAAGGGTTATGCTGCTGGCAATGCAATCCCGAGCCCATTGAAGAACGTGGAGAAACCATTCTTAATAAAATATTGGGCTAAATGGAAAGCCAATCATAGTGCTCGCTGGTAACTTTAAAAAACCAAACATTTACAAATACAGCTTATGATTACTACTCAATTCTGATCCTTTTTAATTTTACAGTCGTGCAATGCCACATATAAAGACATTCACACGTTACAGCGACCAGAAGCTTGCGTAAAGTTCATAAAGTCTCAATATCTGATTACTCAATTAATAAAATATGAACCTTTACTGATCAGTTCTTGTTTTGCTCCATAGATGGTTCTTGCTAACCTCATCGAACCTTAGCAAAGCGGCTTGGGGAGCACTTCAGAAAAACAATTCCCAATTGATGATACGTTCCTACGAGGTAAACTCCTGTGTTTCATGCAAAGCCTTGGATGTCTTATAACTACTGACCAATTTCCATTGACGATAATGATGTTAGTTGGGCGTCTTGTTCCTACCATCTCCAACGAAAGCACAAGGTTGTAAATTTCCGTGCACCGAGAACAATACAAGTGTAGTGAAGGTAAAATGATCTATTCCTTAGCCAATAAACCCGGACCCAAACTTTGATTTATCCCTCCCAATGATCTTATGTTGACAGGCAAAACAAGAGACGAAAGACGAGGTAGAGAAGAGGAGTAAGCTAGTGACAATGAGCTGGCAAGGAGACAGAGATTCGCCTGAGATAATCTCATTACCAATTCCTTATCAACTACCTCCTACGCCTTACTCACCAGAAGGTTTTTTGCCTATTCATTCTCCAAGATAATATAACTTCTTTCTTTCGCTGGTCCTTAATGCTTTTACTGGCACTGTGATATTTCCAGATGTTCCATGGTCATGGGACCGAGGAGGCTACACGAAGAAGGATGTGTATGGACAAGTCTGGCCAAGATAGTTGATGATAGCTTTAAGTTAGCTATTATTACTTGAGAGATTGGCTTTATGGATTTTACTTACTCAGTTATGGAAGAAAACCTAATCTTTGATTTAATGCTTAGCGAACTTATCAAATAGATGGATACCTCAGTGTGAGAAGAGATATATAAATTTGTGGATTGATCTGGATTAGTCCACCAATGGATAGGATAGGATAGGACTTGGGTTAATAAAGTTAGTTTTTCTAGTCTGTAAAAGAGAATAGGCCTGTCGGCTTCACTCTGCCGTACGAACGAGGTTGAAAGGTTAAAAAATCTCGTGGGCCAACAGAGTCGTTTACGAGTTGGCTAATTTTATTTGTTTACATTTGTATCAAAATCATTTTATGGATATAAATAGTTTTGTGATTTATTATTTTATATACATACATGTGTATATACAAGGTTAATGCTATATTTGGATTATAATGTTAACGTCATTAGTTATTCTTATTTATTTGTGTACTGTGAAGCTTACTTCTTTGTTCATAGTGGTTTAATTAGGCAAGTCGGATTATTGTTATACTTTGTAATTCATTTTGTTACCTCTTCTCTACTTATTTTTGTTTGTTGACACTTCTATATATAGTTTGAGGAAATTGAAATTGATCAACCCTTTACATGTGTTGAGGAGCAAGGCATCGTAGTGTAAACCACCAGCTCACAAATAAAACCCTGGACGATCGACGTTTTAGCATATACATTCCAAGCATAATTAGCATAAGTGATAAGTACCAAGAACTATTACAAACACAAAATATAGATACAGAGATCGGAGACATAAGTATATGTCAAATTATTATGACAGGAGCGTGTCGTTGGTTACAAGAAACCTACGATTTAAATTCGAGACACAAAATCAAGAATATGAAGAAAATAAATATAAGAAACAAAAAATGAAGAAAATATGGTGTGGTACATATTCGATAGACATTTAGAATACAAACAGACGCAGACAAGCATTCACAATCAATGTCTACATTTCCAAGAACACCCGTCCCTCTCTTTGATGATTTGGCCTTTTATCATATCTATCGAAAAATTTTAAGATAATAAGATTCATTAGTTAATCTCTCTAGTAGCTACTATTTTGACATGTTAATGTAGTCCTGCCTCAAATCTTAGACAAAAGCTCTAATCAAAATTTGGATATATATATATACTGAGTAAAAAAGATCCTTCTTCTATGTTCTGAACATTTACAACTTGCCACGTCAGTACTTGGATAATATATATTTTTATCCAATGCCTTGTGACTTAGGGTAGCATGCAGTAGTTGTGTCTAGAGAATTGATGATATCCAACATGCTCGGTTATATATTTTTATTTTATACAAATGATTGTTGGTTTGCTCTAGAAAATTGAAAGACTCTTGCAAATAACAAGTGTCCCAAGAATAGAAAAGCATAATATACTTTTGGATATTGTTATGATTTACGAGGCTTTGATTTGAAAACATTTGACAAGTGAATGTATTGGTTCAAGTTCTTAGTTTCTTATTCTATCCTAAGCGTTTTTAGAGTTCTATGAAGATACATAGATGTAAGAAAAGAGAAAACACAGAGAAAAGAGAGAGAGAGAGAGAGGTGTCATGTGGGAGGGGGCGTGAAGGATGGGGATGCTCATGCTCCCTGATTAGAGGGGAGAAAGAGTGTCCTATCATCACATGGGAGGTTAACACTGGTTTCTATTTTATAACAATTTTTAACTTACAGAAATATATTATTAAAACATAAATAGTCCCACCTGTGTGTGCTCATCAGCAAACATTTTTCTTTAATGTCCAGTTTATCACACCATCTCCTTGTTTTCTAATATATATCATGCATCTACTTATCATCATTCATATCTTTTGCATATCATCATCATGTGTTTAGATCCAACAAATGTTTTGTTGTTAATTATGACCAACATAACATTCATAGTAACTTGGAAACACTAATATATATGTTTGTTAGTTTGGAAATTACCAAGTCTACGTCGTCTTAGCTAGAGCAAGCTCGAAAAATATTGGGTTTGGTGGATTTGACTAAGGCATTACATAAATAAGCATACACTATATGTATTTGAGGTACACGTGAAAGAGTTTGGGGAGACTAGCCCCTCCCTATTGGTTAGGATAGATACCGTACGTTCCTCTCAAATTGACCTAAGTCCATTGTTTTTATTTACCCGTATCTATATAACTGATACACAAAATCTTCTTAGTTTAACGTATCATCATGCATCCACCACAAAATAATGATATATTCAAAGCGTTACACTAGCTACTATAATAAGATAAAATCACGTGATGATGTTTTAATGTTCATTGTTTTATTATTGGTTGAAATCAGAAATAGCTTCCCACTTCAGTAAATATTAGTTTCTCTATGACCTCAACAGTTTTGGCACATGACAATTACAAATTATGATCAAGATAATTCGAATTTCTGGATTGTGGTCTTCCTTTGGTCTTAAAGATAATGATACCTTCTCAAAAACTCTCACCTCAAGGATTAAGTAAAGCTAGTGCAGCTATTAAGGATGTACGTAATTTATAGTTTGTTTTACATATTTTTTACCGAACCAATCCGCACAAAATTACATCCACAAAAACATTATCAATAATCCACCAACCATAAACTTCGGATTTCACAGACTAACCTTACTGTTTATGCTCTTAAAATATGAATATGTATTATAAATTAAAAGGATGTGTTATATATAACTAAGTGGTATTCTTATTCTTCTTCTTATTATTATTTATAATAATGTTGTTTCAATACAAAAAATAGATGTACAGTAATAAGAATATATATATATGTATATATCTGTATATCTATATATTAATGTAATTTTCAATAGAAATAATATAGGTTTTTGTGAATATAAGAAATTAAAATTAAAAATATCAGCAATATGTTTATTGGTTTTGACGTGATGTCTTTTTTCTAAGCAAATAAGTATAAATTGGATTGACTCTTTCTTTTCATATTGTCCTTTATGAATTTTGTTTTCCACTCTAAATTATTTTGCAATTATGTAATATGTAATAAAATTTAATTTAAAGTAATTTACCAAAAATGATCATCAATATATAGTACTAGATAATTAGTTATAATATTTGATATTAGACATACTTCTATGTTTCACTAAAAGTATTATTTTTACATGTTTCACATAAATTAAAAACTACATAAATTATCTTCTAAGTATAGTGATAAAATGAGATAACTGATATAAAAATAAAAATAAAAAGTAAAAATACAAACAAAGTTTTTATTGAAACAAAGCAAATATGATATTATATACATCACAATCTGATCAATTGTAAATTCACGTGTCTTGTATCCAATACTCCATTCTAAACCACTGTTCTCTCTTATGCACTTGTCTTTGTCATATCCAACACCCATATTTAAGAGGATGTTATTGGATTCTAATTTATATAGACTTCAGATAATTTTGATAAAACCATAAATTGTATAATAATAAAATATTCTAAGAGATTGTTAGAGAGTTTTTTGTAATATTGTTAGTTAGATTTTTATAGTTTTGTAAAGTCTATTTTGATGATATTTTCATGACTTCATTTTGTAAAGAAAAGTGTTTAAAATCATAAACCAATAACCTAATTATTTAATTCATTAATAGTTAGAGATTTTTTTTTTTAATTGAATAACAAAAAAGTTAACGGTTTGATAAAAATTTGAATCCAATAACCTCATATTTATGAAGATTTAAAATGGCTTTTTTAAAATCAATAACTAATAACACTAAACTTTAAAAGAGTTTAATAAAATGTTAATCGAATAACAATAGAATCTATGTTACATTTAAACTCATTAAAACTCTATATATAAAGCAGAAACCAATACGAGCCCCTAAGTTTATTTGCATTACTCTCTCTCTCTCGTTCTCTCTTTCTCTCTATAAGTGTGGTCCTAGCTCTCTATATAACACCATATTTCTTCTCCTTCTTCCTTCTCCCTTTCTTTCGACAAGCACGAACAATTATACTTCCTTTCTAACCCACAAGCCATCAATACAAGTGAGCCCGCGTTCTTGGATTCATATATAAGAATATTTTAACATATTTCTCCAAATCAAAATGTCGTCTAGCAGAAGGTCGAGGCAAGCAAGCTCATCATCAAGAATTAGCGATGATCAGATCGCTGATCTCATCTCAAAGCTCGGGCAGTCCATTCCGGAGATTCGCCAGAACCGTCGTTCCAGCACGGTAAAAATCTTTAGAAAATTTACCGTATAGTCATCTAGATATGTAGTATGTACTAAGAAGGTTCGGCGTAGTCATATAAGTTTGAATTCATGATATTAAAATAGGGTTAGTTAATAGTTACTATGTTTAATACTATAGAAAACAAATATACAACATGCTGGAATAGTGCATTATAGTCATATATATATATATATATATATCGATTTACGTGTGGGAGAGTGCATTTTGAAGTTTCTAAAAATACTTTTGACCATTAACCGGACTTTGAGGAGAGGGGAACATATTTCCCCTAACTTCAGCATTAAGCTTCTATAAGTTCTAACTAAGTTTGCTTTTATCATTGATTAATTACATTCAATGTGAGACGACTATATTGCTTCACGGACTATCAATTCAATACATTTATGTACAGCACCGACTTAGTTTTTTTAAATATATTTCTTAGTTATAAAACAAGAAAAGGACGAAACACTAGAAATTTAAGAAAAAGCCGGTTACTATAAATGGAAGTCTCGTTTTCTTATAGTACATACAACCAATCAAATTGGTTCTCAATTTCAAAAACAATGTGCTAGTTTTTTTGACAAGTTATGAGAGCATTTATCTAAAAGCTTTTTTCTTAGAGATCGCATTTTGTTATATGTCAAGCCATTAGCATCATAACTTCAAGCTAAGACTCGTTTATAGATGTTTATATTTTAAAAAATAAATATATATATATATATATATATATATATATTATATAAAATTTTACTCTACAGATAATGTATAACTTTGAAAAATGTATGTAGGTATCAGCGTCGAAAGTGTTACAAGAGACTTGCAACTACATAAGAAACTTGAACAAGGAAGCCGATGACCTCAGTGATCGATTGACTCAGCTTTTGGACACCATTGATCCTAACAGCCCCCAAGCAGCCGTTATTAGGAGCTTGATTAATGGATAATTAATTAAGAGATATATTGAGTAGTTGTCCTCTATATATATATGTTTACAATCTCGTTGAGAGGTTGCTCAATCAGGGTGTTGCTTAATTATCTATTATATATATGTTTCTTATATATTATATATTCACAAATCATAGCTAGCTAGGGTTCATATTTTGACCCTCTTTTTGTTTAACGTCATGCATGCAACCATTAAGCTTTAATTATGAATTTATAATAAATATATCAGATTTCGGCTAACTATTTACTTTTAATCTTTCTATTATAGATGCGAGTGTGTACTGTGTACATATTTGGTTTATGTATAAATGTATTATTCCCAAGTATATGTTATGACAACCGAGATATATATCATTTTCACCTTTGAATTTTTGGTTAAACATTTAAAGCATAGAATTACCACCTTTGACTAAAACGAAGTTGATGATTTAAACGGTTAATATAAACCTACATATCTTACACTCACATGAAATTTTGTTAACAACTAATCAACTATACCAACATATACATTAGTTATAAATAAAACTACAAAGGAAACAAATATTAACGACCAAAAAGTAGAAACTATAGGTAAATATATATATTTGTAACTTTTTTTCATATCTCTACATTATGAAACATAAGAAACTCTTTGTTGAAATATCAAGTGGCAGTATCACACGAATCTTGCTTATTAATGTGGCAATAAGGACACAATAAAGTAAAGCGATTTTTGGCAACAAAAAAAAAGCGTAATTAGTACAGAATTCAACATAAATTAAATCAAAATTCTTAAAAAGGAGTTTGTCGTCTTTTGTGAACAGATGTGAAATAAAAATGACGTTAATACTTAGATTTGTCGGAGAATTGGGATCATGAACCACAAATTTTGCATAAATTAGCGTAGTAATTAGGTAAATTTCTCACATATACATATGCATACATATACAAATATAAGACGTGATGTGACTATAACACAATCTTTCAAATATAATTAGTTCGGAGATCTTTCATGATTTGTTACCTTAGCTGATTGTTTCAAGAATTTGTGGAACAAAAAAAAAAGTTGTCTATACAAAATCATTACAAAAATACTCCTGAAAGTATGCAACGGTAAAGTGGTTAAATCGGTTGAAAATGGTAGCTTATAAAATAACAACTAACGAGAAACTTTTTTTTTTTTTTTAACGAGAAACTTTTGACTAGGAAAACATTTTTACCTTTTAACATAAAACAAACCTTTGACTCTCTTTCGTCAAAAAACAAATCTTTGACTTGTTAGGTTAGGTAAAAAAGGTAATTCAGCTAATAGCTATAGTGTACGCACAGTTTTTATTTAGAAGACATAAATTTCAGAAGTTCCATTGTCTAAAAAGGTTTTCGATTTTTGACCTATTATAGCATATAGTTATTTGTTTTCATGCACTTTACCAGTCGCTCATTTAGTGTTTTTTTTTTTAAGATCTAATTATAATTTTAAAATGTCCCTTGTTATATGGATGTAAAAGGCTGTGTTTACTTTTGTATATGTAATTATTTATTTTATAAAGTTACGTACTGATATTCGAATCAAATTATAAATTTGTCCACAGTAAAGTTGGTGGTAAGTAGGGATCTCTATATGGTCCCTTTCAACTCATGAAACCTACATTAAGTTAGATACCCATATTATTTTGGGTATATATATATATATATAGTTGTGACTATTACTATATATACTATTAAATTAGTTTCATCCAAATTTATATTTTAGATATTATTTTGTGTCCAAACTGGAGTTTTGTTAGTCTTTTATGCAAATAATTTGATGTTTAAGAGGTTTTTGTACATAAATTAACGAACCAATTATTACTAATTTTTTTGTTTATAAAAGTAAAGATATCAATTAATTTGAAAGTATATATTAATTATCACTTATTTTAAATATAAGGAGTATATACATATACTAGTAATATATTTATGAAAATGAAAATGAAAATGAAAAAAAAGCAATAAAGGCTATAAAATTCCAGAAAAAAAAGAAGCAATTGATGGGTCATAAAAATAGTGAATGTTGGTCTACCCTACAAATTTGATGATAACTACCGACATAATTGTTCACACCGTTGGACAAAGGAAACATCTAAAATTTCTCATTTTGTTTCCTTTTTGTGTGTTTCTTCTCCTTTCATATAAGAAAAAAATATAAAATAATACTCACACATAAAGAACCACAAAAGTAAAAAAGAAATTAAAAAAAAAGAAAGAGAGAAAGGGGATGAATATAGAAGAACTACTTACACTCACCGTTAATGTCGTTATCACTGTTTAACGGCATTGTCAAGAAAAAAGACCCAGTCAATGTTTCTCGTAAGTACCTCTTTTTGTCCTTTCCCCGCGTTTTTTGACTTTTCAAACCCCAAAATTAATTTAACTCAAATGGTTTAGTTTAGCTAATATAATAATACAAATCACTTTTGTAAGAGAAACGGAAAACTATAATTTGGAACTTGATTTTATTTTAGAATTGTTGATGTCCCTCATGATTTCCAAAAGATTAAAAGAAAAATAATTGCTTTTTAAAAAAAATCAAAGTGACCTAAATTAGCTCAAGTCGAAAAACAATTGTTTATATACTTGACAAAATACAGAATAGAACGAATTTGATGTGCCCAATAATCCGTTTTTACATTCAAATTTTTAGATAGAAGAAAAAAAATAAGAATTATTTCCTATCACTGTTGATATCATTCAGGAAAACAAAGAAAGTTGGTCACTCAGTATGAGAAGACACTATTTTCACCAAATCATAACCGTCGGTAAGAAACATAACAACTCTAAATTTATGATCAATATGCATTTAATCGCTCACATAAGAACTTCTACTACAAAAAATAAAAATAATAATATGGCTTTTTATTTTACGCTCTGAGGGGCTGCTTATAAACCGAGGCCGTACTATAAAAAGGCCCAGATAGTTAGGCCCATAAACTCCAACACACGCGAGTTCCATAACTAACTACTGCAATAAATAAAAAAAACGCGCGCATCACACTAGAGAGTGTAAGTTAGTTATTCGTCACGGGCTCGTCACTGTGGGCAAGTGTCGAAAGTAGTGGCCCATTTACACGACCGAGTTAGCCCATTAGTCAATTTGTTCTGACTTCTGAGCTATGCGATAAATAAATTAATTAATGGCTAGGCTATACGTATTTAAATATATATATACACATACATATATTCTTCTTCTACTAACGCAAACTATAAACTTCAATCAGGATTCAGGACTATTACAATTCTCTCAAGAGTTCTTTTTAAAAAGTAGAATACTGGACAATCGAAGTGCTGTTGGAAAGTTACGTGAAATATTCTCACAATTTTTATTAGGATATAACTATTTTTAGTTAAAAAAAATAATAAAGTTATTTGCATAAAAAACATTTGGTCTTAGACTTAGAATACAGTTAATTGTCTAAATTAGTTTCAAATATTAGGATATTCATTCAAACGTGACATAATCTAGTTCTAGATACTTTGCTTGTCGCATGATAATAATTGTGAAGAAAAACGAACCATCGCATTAGCTTCGGTTAATCAAAGATTATTAACAACAACACTACGGTTAATTCACATATAAAATATGACCAGGTCAATAACTCTTAACATAAATAAAAGAAACGATCAAAAACAAACCAAGGATATAAAAATATAACGAAAGAGGCAAAGGACCCGTTAAAAATTAAATATATATTTAAAAACATAAAATGTAAAGAGGTGGAGAGAGTTGAAGTATCCCAAGAAAGAGGCAGAGAGAAGAAGTAGAGGAAGCAGAGCACATGGGAGCAGTGGAGCTAGTTGGAGAAGCTTCAGATCATATATATTTTTCTTTATTATTATATATATAGTATTGTAATGTTTTCTTTTTAATAACAAAAAAAAGAAGAAGACATTTCAATAATTTTTCTGCAACAAAAGCATATTGCCAAAGGGGATAGATAGGTGTTAATACTACTACTACAACTCTCTTTTAAATCTTCCCAATACAACAAGCATGTGAAAGACCTTGTTGTAGGACAGGTCTGTGGCACTATCTTGTAGGGACCCCATTTTCTATATTCAAATTACAATACTATATAAACCATTATACCACATAACATATACTAAGTAACAAAATTTTATAAATGTGTTTGATATTGAGAAAGCCACCACATAGATATGACAATTGGGAAACACACTAGTGGTGGGTCTCTCTTTTATCTTTCACATCTACCTTGGATACTCACTCCAACAAAAATTTCAGTAGAGTGAAAGGAAGAGCATATATCTCAATCATCATGTTGCCAATCAATATCTATTTAATATCACTCTATATATACAAATATGAATTTATCTTGTAGATTTTGTCTCCTTTTTTCCTCTTCGATCTTCACAATTTTATATAAGTTGAATGCCTTTGGTTGGAATATATAGAATTTATTGAAAGAGCTATCTTAATATATGTAGGTCATCAAGTCTAGAAAGAGTGAGATGTATAACCCTTCACTATTATATTTTTTTCTATTTGACACAATTAGTTACTAGTTATCACTTAATACTTTGAATCTAAGATTCTAAATAATAAAGACTTATTAGCCATTTTACAAAATAATAAATTAAAGACTACTATAATAGAGTTTGGTTATGTGTAAGAAATAAAACTTAGGTCGGTGCATGGTGTGAATGCGATTACCTGGCGAGAAGAACACACATGCGTATAAGTTGTACTGTGGAATGTTCTTCAAAAAACCAATGAGTGTGAGTTTTCTTATAAGAAAAAATTTAATCATTTTTAAGGAAAAGTAATATTATGTGTACGCGACATGGTACGTAAAATGCTATTAATAATATAGTTTGGAAAAAATGCAATAGTATACAAATCGGTGATCTATACGCACTACAGTTAGATTATTCGGAGGATATATAGTAATATAATTAATAATTGATCACACCTGAAAAATTAAAATTCATGCATAGACATAATGTATTCGAGGACACTATTAGCTTTGATGACAATTTCCCTAATGCTACGCCTATATTCGAGGATTGAGAGTAATATGGCTGTCATCAAATATTTCTTTTAATTTGTTGCTTATCTTCTTTAAATGATTACATGTCTGTACATGATCAGTAGATCTAAATGTTTAGAACAGAGAGAATTCCAACATTTTACACTAATCATCTTCTTGATCTCAAAATTTTTAATCAGATTTTTTTTAGCTAATCTTGATATCATATCCGTGCAAAGATAATATATATATTGGTGAATCCTGAGATCTACTTGTGAATATTATTAAGAATCGCTTGACTAGAAACAAAAATGTTAAAATCAAATGTATTAGTTGGTTTATAGTTGTATATATGTATAAGCTAAGCTGTATATTAGTAGTAGCATAAGATTTAACAGTATATATAAATGAAATGGAAAATGTATGCACACATATCCATGTGCTATTTAATTTAAAATTTAAAATTTTCCCAAGTGTACTCTCTCGTATACAAATTGAATCAGCATATGCCCTAAAAGCTTAGATGGTATAAAGGGTGGGTCCTATACAAACCTCTCCTATGAACTGATCTCTTCCTTCTTCTTCTCAGTTCTCACTAATTCTCCCTCTCACAAGAAAACTTCAAAGATCTATCTTGCGTTTTGTTCTCTCCAACAAAGTTCTTAATATATTCTGATATAGAACAAATTGTTCAGCTCACAATTCATAAGAAGAGTTGATCATTGGTGGGCTTTGGAGAGTTTGTATATATTATATATATGTATATGTATGAGGAGGGAAGGAACAATATCAGTAGTAATCAAGAAGGATTGAGATTGGAGATGGCCTTTCCACAACATGGATTCATGTTTCAGCAACTCCATGAAGACAATGCTCATCACTTACCTTCCCCTACTTCTCTCCCTTCTTGTCCTCCTCACCTCTTCTATGGTGGTAAGTACATCTTTAGCTCTCTCTCTCTCTCTCATACACTTGATATATACATACACAAATAATTAATTTCAAGATCTTTGATTGTCAAAAGGGTTCCTTCTTAATTTACCAAAATTTGAATGCAAATTTTTATTAATTTTCCATTGGATGTTTGGTCACTTTGGAATTCACGTAGCGACTACGAGATCAATCTGGGGTTCGGACCTCTAATTAAGCTAGCTACCAAACAAGAAACGTGTAGTAAACTTTGCTGTCTTTTGTTTGGTGTAGGAGGAGGAGGAGGGGGAAACTACATGATGAACAGATCGATGTCGTTCACGGGAGTATCAGATCATCATCATAATCTAACTCAGAAAAGCCCGACCACGACGAACAACATGAATGATCAAGACCAGGTAGGCGAGGAAGACAATCTATCTGATGATGGGTCACATATGATGTTAGGAGAGAAAAAGAAGAGGCTGAATTTAGAGCAAGTTAGGGCATTAGAGAAGAGCTTTGAGCTTGGGAACAAGCTGGAGCCTGAGAGGAAGATGCAGCTTGCCAAGGCCTTGGGATTGCAGCCTAGGCAGATTGCGATATGGTTTCAGAACAGGAGAGCTAGGTGGAAGACAAAGCAGCTCGAGAGAGACTATGATTCTCTCAAGAAACAGTTCGATGTTTTGAAATCGGACAATGATTCTCTTCTTGCCCACAACAAGAAACTACATGCTGAGGTACGTACTTAAACACACAGGTTCGACTAGTCTTTGTATATCATCACTTTACTTTTATAGGCTAACCTTATTTAAACGATTTTTGATTAAATTCGTATATATATATATATATATATATATATATATATATACATTATATATGAATGTCTATACGATGAAAAAATAATGTGAAAGTATATACGAAAGCAAAACCTTCATGTATTAACACGTAGTTGGAGATCTTAGAATGGCTTTAATAAACATATATGTATAGTATGATTAGATTATTGATAGGCTCTTGATCCAACGAAAGATGTTTGTCAAAAGACATTAATTATAAAACTCCTTTTATTATTATTATTATTAAATAAAGATTCTTGTGTACATACATTTTAAATTAGTAAACTTCCCATGTGCTTGTGGAGTTGACATTACGATAATTTATTTTATTTAACAAAATAATAAATTGGTATGTCAAATAAATCGCTCCACTGACTTTCGTTTACGTGTGTTGTTGATATTGGCACATAAAACAGTTAGTGGCATTGAAGAAACACGACCGTAAAGAATCGGCAAAGATCAAGAGAGAATTGGCAGAAGCTTCATGGAGCAACAACGGAAGCACCGAAAATAATAATACTTCAGATATAAATCATGTGAGCATGATCAAAGATCTTTTCCCTTCATCAATCCGAACTGCGACCGCAACCACTACCTCGACCCATATCGATCAGCATATGGTGCAAGAACAAGATCAAGGGTTTTGCAATATGTTCAATGGTATTGATGAAACGACGTCGGCTAGTTATTGGGCATGGCCTGACCAGCAGCAACAACATCACAATCATCATCAGTTCAATTGATCATATTGTCTACGAAACAACATCATACTCACCTTGATATCATTATTATCATCAAAAGAAAATTTCGTAGATTTTTTTTTTTTAATTTGAGTATTTTGAAATTATTTGGTACTGTTTAAATTAAATTGAATTGGGTTATTATGTTTTTTTTTTCCCTTTGGGTTTGTAGAGAATTGGTGTATAGGGGATACTCAACAAACTTGTAATATGATTTTTCTTGTTACTTCAATTGAATGAATAAATTTTTATTTCATATCAAATTATATATCCGTATATAACAAAACAGTGCATCGTCAAAACATGTTATTTTTACTATCGCTTCTTGTGAGCTGCCCAACATTCACTAATTTTGCAAATATATATAATTTTTTTTTTGGCTAAAATCCAGCTTTATAATTAAATAAATTTTTGAAGTGAATGTGTCAAAATGACTTCTTATTTTCTTCTAAAGTAAAGCAACTACAAACATATCTAAAAAAAATAAAATTAGCTAGGTTGGAACACAGAGCTAAAAAGAAAATAACAAAAACATATGAGAAATTTCAGATGCATGTGCCTTCGAGTGGGATTCCAGCTCTGCCATTGACACAACATGAGCCATGAAATATATCTTACGTCTGACATTTTTCATCTACCTTTTAATTTTATTTTATAAAATTGGTGTGCTCGTGTGTGATTTTTTTTTTCTATCAGATATATGATATATCATCAATTATACATAAGATGTCTTTCGTATAATTTAGTTACCCTGAATTTCGAAAATCATCATCCATCAAAACTAGCATGCGGTGTACTAATTTCTAAATATTCACTCTATTGTATTTAAAATATTAATTAATAGTTTGAACAAATGTAATTTTTTTTATCACAAAAGAAAATTTTCATAATCTAATAGTAATAGTTTAGTTACAATAAGCGTTTTTTTTTCTTTCCTATAGTACATATGTAAATAGCAAAGTATAATATAACTTTTAACATTTTAATGAACTAATTAAACTAGAATTTAAAACACTACTTAATGTATGTCACGTAGTCAGTCGCATATGTGTATATATATATATACCATCTAATGTTTAAATCCATTTAAGTACAATATGCTTTTTATTCAATCACGATGTTGAGAGTACTGTTGTCCTTTTCATAAAAAAGAATGATTAAATATTTTTTATATATAAATAAAAGAATTGAACTGAAACCCGAACTGATATAAGTCAGTAAAACGTTCTCTTTAAAATTTTTGT